GCAATCTCACTTGGCAACACTTTACACTTTCCTAAGCCCAGCTGTGAGGCAGCTGTGACTGCAACAGGCTCCATTGCCCTAATTCCTTCAAGAGCAAAGCCCACCATTGATGAGGCTGAAGTCTGTACTCTAGTTCCACATGTGTATTCTTGAAAGTGGTGACCCACTGAACAGCCTGAGTGTTTTTTTTCCATGCTGGGCTTACCAGCATCCTGATGCTACTTTCTAAAACCAGTGATAAACTCAGAGAACTATCTGTATTCCTTGGTTCCTATTTCTGGTAGATACTTCAATTTTATTGTTTTAGTAATTTCTTCCTTTTTTCTCATTGACACAAAGATAGGACAGGAAGAAAAAGAAGATAAAATACACCTGCTTCACCATCCTCTTGGAGGTAGGTACACACTAGACTGGACTGGCTGAAACCTGAAGGGGAAGTCATATTGCCATTTATCCCTAGTAAAGAAATTTATTATTTCCTGTGCAGGTGCCTTGTGAGCAACACCTGGTAAGGGTAAGTGTTTGTGTTTGGGCTTTTTTCGACAAAGCAAGTCTTTATTGAAACATCAAAATCTATGAGGTCAAACCTTGCAGGAAAAATATAATTTCTTGACACAGATTTCTTTGAAATCCATCTTAAAATTTTCCATCAGAACCTGAAAGAAAATGGCACTCCTTCCCCCAGTATACTTATCAATTCTTGTTGGAGAAGTCTGGGTTTAGGAAGCAGATGTCTCCTACTAAGAAGGTCAAATGACTTCCCCCAGAAGGGCTGAGTCTCTTCTGCTGCAGCTTTTCCACTTTGTGTAAAAAGGTGAATAATTAGCTCCCCACGCCAAGAATCAGACTGATTACAGACTTGATTTATTTAAACTCTCCATATTAAACACAAATGCACTAATCAGCTGACAACTGAATCCTTCCCATAAATCTTGGTCCAAATAATATTTAAGTCTATAAAACTGCTTAAAGAACAGAATCAAATTTAACCACAATTAACCCATTTAACCTGACTATATAAACATATCTGTAGGAGGGTCTCAAATCTTATTCTGGCTTCCTGAATTAGGTTTTCAACACCCATATTGTCTCTCACATCCATCTAAGTCGAAAGCTTCAAATACTAGGAACAAAGAACAGAAATCCAGGCTCATCATTCAAATCTACTGACCCCAAAACTAGTTGGATGCTTTTTTTTCAGAACTGGTGAATAAACCTTAGACCATCTGCTCGTGAGGCTACAAGCCCTGCAGAGGCCGGGACACATCTGAAAGTCTGGGCAACCTATGCACAAAAGTGAGAAAATGCTTTCAATAAGGTAGCACACTGCTTATTGTTTTTCCAGGTTGCATTACTCAATGTTATCAAATCTTCTGTAAGATATGGGAGTAACACTTTTTTTTTCATGTACAACAGATCATAGTGAGGATGTTACGCTTCTGTTTGTATCCACAGTGCAGGTCTCTGGTTATTTCCAGAGGACCTCTGAGGTGCTCATGCTGCATAGCAGTCAATCCTTGGAGGACAGCACTCTCTGCCCTTGGAGGTAGCCAAAAGCCATCTGGACTGAGTCCTAGATAACTTGCTGTAGACGTACCTGCTTGGGCAGGATGGTTGGACAACATGCCTGCTGTTCAAGGAACAAGCAAATCAGTCTCATCAGTGAAGCTCTCAGATTTGCCTTCCTAAACCAAAACATGGATCCCAGACGGCTCCTAGCAGCACGCATGTTACCACATCTCCTGTGTGAGGCACTGGCACGGGCCCTGGGCTGGGGAAGGGCTGTGAGGCTGAGGGGCAGCTGAGCACAGAGCAGGGCAGTCTGCACATTGCATGAACTCTGCAACCAAATAAAGGCTGCTCCTGACAATTTTTTACCTACATGCCTGTGTACTCCTGCACGTTGGCTGCACGCAATACAAGGTGCTGGCTCAAAGATGGCCCAGTCCACCTGTATTGGCTGAAACCATCGACTAATGGAGAGGGAGGCTGGAAGGCAGCAGTGGCAGGCAGGACAGAGCTGCCTGACAAGGCTATTCCCATTGAGAGCCAAATTAGAATCTCATATTCATCATAAACCCAGAAAGAAATCAATTGGTCAGTGAAATCACTAAACTGACTACAGATCTGGATGGCTGATGCCCCAGTGGTGATGAAGAAGACTGCAGAAGGATGGATAATGCACTGTTCATTTTTAGTACAGTAAGTGCTCCTGCCTTTGGTAGACTACACCATTAATCATCATGGAAAGAGGCCTGAGCACGGAGGTCATTCACAATGCACAGCATCTGCAAGCGAGGCAGGATTTAACCATCGCTTAAAGCACTGCTGAGCTTGGATGATGCTGTCATTCATTCTTGTACTCTGTGAGCGAGGCCACAACACTCTGTGCATGCAGAAAACACGAGCAGCACTGGAAATGAGTATGTGCCTGCACCTCAGCTTGGGGCTCTATGTTTATTCTGAAATTTGTGGCAAGTATGATGTTAAAAATTTGAAAAAGTCCCATGTAAGTTCCCTCAGAGTCGCTGCCCTAGCACGACCCTAATTCCTTTGAAACAGGCTGATATGCAGTTGTATGATGGGTTTGCTCATGTAATTACACCTCAGCATTCATTCCAGCTCTTCTAGCACCTTAATTTGAACAAAATGGAGTAATTTGGCACTTTGCTTTGGAGACAGTGGGAGGTGAAAAATTCACTGCTTTCTGTGAACCTCTCGAAAAAATGTAGAACCAGCATTTCACTTTCATTTTTTAGTTTGAGTATTTCCAAACCTGCACGTGGGTGAATAAGTCTCAAATACCATATTGTGGAAATACTAAAACTTTTCAATCACAGCAGTATAGGAGAAAGAATTGTTTTCAATTAAAACCACTAAAATATCCTAACAAATAGACTTAGGTATATTCTCTCTCCTTCAGGAGATCATGTAATTTAAGATCCCCAGCTGTATGTAGAGGTTATGGAAAATGAACTTGTGTGCTACTAAACAGTTAAAACTGTTTTCTTCTGTTGGATACTGTGAAGAAGGATCACAATTTTCCCTCAGTGTGTCCAGCTGGTACAGCTAGTTCCTAAGTATGTATCCAAATTATAAATATATTAAACAGCAATTTGTTGTCCAGTCCTATAATTTCACAGGATATTATGAGATCAGGAATTTCAACAGATATCAAAGGCAAAGGCAGATATAACCCTATTTTTCTCTTAACTGGAAATTGTCTTAATTATCAAACAGTGTCTGAACACAGTATTCCCAGGATTCTGCTAAATTGTGTTTAGCTGTGGACCACAAAGGGACCTCTCTCAAGTCTTCTCTCAAGGGCTTCAATATTCATGCTCCTGCCCTTACAGTACATGGCCCTTCAAGCCCAAAGCAGAGCAGGCAAATTCTAAGTCTGATCACAAGCTGTTTCCTGAATGTTAAAAATTTATTTGTACGATGATTACTGCCTCCACTGATATTTTCAGGATGACACTTCAAAAAGCCTTAGAGGAATATCACAGCCCATCAGGAATATCAATAATATATTTTTTATCTCATGGGAGCATTACACTACCTGAACTCTTTCATTATCTAGCAATAGGGAATCAGTGAATTTAGTAGGGACTAACGGAACAGTAATTAGAACAAAATCCAGTTTTAGGGACTTTTTAGTAATTTACTTATGATACACAGTATGGATTGATTTTCAGGTCTAAGCATTAATGAAGTACATAGCCGCTTCTCATTCATCACATCCATCCCTCCCTTTAACTTCCCTAGTTTCAGAAGGAAGGTACAGCAACTAGCTCATAGTCTGTGGGTTTTTTGCATTGTTAACCACCTTGTTATGTAAAGTTGGCACTAGCAAGAACTTTTCTTGACAACTTTTTATTCTAATTGTGTCCCCTCTCTCTTCAAATGTCATCCAACCTACAGGAAAAATGGCAATTAATACAACAGTGGAAAATAACAACACTGTCTCTTCAGATGGTTCAGTAGTTTACCACCAGTAATTGGTTATTCACTGCAGGACAGTATCATAATTTTAATTGCGAGTTTTCAACCATGGCATATAATGTGGCTCTTCATAGATACATTAATGAATGTTTGCTGCTCCTTTATGAATTCCTGTATATCAGCCTCACAAATAACTGAAATTTCCAGCATGCACTCTAAACTCAGCAAATTTTTTTTTTTTTTTTTTCACTGAATGAAAGATCTGCTTTTTACATGAAACTACTCAGGCCATAGTTTTTACAAAACACCTCCAAAACACAGGAAGAAAAAAAAACCAAAAAAACCCCAAAGTTATTTAACTCAAGTGAATAACCTAAAAATTTTTCTAATATTCAACAGTAGGTTTTACCACTCTTTACCACCATTTGTATTATGCAAAATGACTCCCCTTTAAATGTTTATAATTGGGCCCACATTTCAAGGCTAAGGTCCTCATATAATAAACTATTACACTTTCAAAGAGTGTGCAGTTAAGTAACCAGAACATTTATAATGTACATTCACAGTGCACAATAATTTTATGCTAAGGTAACCAGCTGGAACAAATGGGAGTTATTGCAGTATAAAACTCTAGAAAAGCTGTGATTAATCAGGTATAGGTCCCTGTGGCATGTAACTATATTATTTGCATAACTAGAGGCATGGGTGTTCAAAATCATGGCTCAAGTAAAGAGGTGAGACCACTGAAGGAGAAGTTACAATCTAGCCCCAGAAAGATCTTTCCCCCCCAAAACAGAGCTATTGCTGATCAAGAGAAGACCACTTCTTCTGCTTCTGTGGCTGCTGCAATGCCTTTCTGTTTGTAACACCATTATGTTAAGATCAGACGCAAGCATTCTGATGTGAAAAAAGAGAAGAGAAAGAAATGGGGAGGATAAAGAAGAACGAAGAGGAGAAAATGAAGACATTTAGCAATAGAAAAGCAAATCTGCACTGCAATTCCACCAACCCACAGAATTCTAATAAACTTTTTTTTTGCAATGTTGTCCACTTACCAACATCAGGATCAGTTGCTTGGACTCTTGTTAATAAAGCTTTAGTGGCTGTGTTCTCATAAACACAAGCAGTGTAGTGATCAGATGAAAACACTGGTGGGTTATCATTAACATCTTCTAAAATAAGATGGATTTCTGACTGGCAAAACCTGCCACCACCATCAGTGGCTCGGGCAACCAAGTTGTATGCCGGGATTTTCTCTCGGTCGAGAAGGGCCAAAGATTTCAGCTCACCTGAAATTATTTAAAAGCAGCAGCTATCATTATTATTGTAGAAACATCACTAATTCTAGACTGCCTGAGTGTCTCAAAACCATGGGTTCCACAGTAATAGGAAAGAGAAAACAAAACCAACATTGCTTATTCCAACAAACAGATTAAAAACTCACAGCAGTGTCACTTCCCCTTCCTCTTTACCCAAAAAAGTGAGGTACCAATATGAGTGCAGGCATGCCAAGCCATTCATGGTGGCTTTAACAGCAGCCTACAGCTTTACCGATATGAACACCACCATGTTTTTCCAAGTCTTTCTTTCTGTCACTCTCAAGATTTATGGACTTCTTAGAAACACAGAAACATTTCCTTTTTACAAGTACCTGCTGTGATATGACAAAGAGTAGTAGTTTTAAATTAAAAGAGGGTAGATTTAGACTAGCTATAAGAGAAGACATTTTTAATGATAAGGGTGGTGAAACAGTGGCACTGGCACAGCCCTCGAAACCTTAACTGGATGGGTCTCTGATCAACATGATCTCTTTGAAGATGAATCTGCATATGGGTTTGGCCTAGATGACCTTCAAAGTTCTCATCCAGCCCAAAATATCCTGTGGTTCTATGATAAATCTCTGGTCTAACTTGGAGTCTGCAGGGAAACAAAAGGATGGATATCCACTGTTCTGGTTGTAACACCCAACCTGGCCAGCAAAGATGTCCCTCCTTCTCCCTCCTGTTGCCGCCATTCAAATGGTCACCCATATCTGCCAGAACTGGAACAACTGCCTGATATCCACGTGTAACCTAACTCTAATTAAGGAAACCAGTACCCAGATGTAGAGGGGTTAAGGCTATTCAGAAACATTTGGTTGTCTTCTTACCATTTTCTGGATCTAAGAAAAATTTATTGTTCCCCGAACCATAAAGAGAATAGCGAATTTCACCATTGGGCCCGATGTCAGCATCTTTAGCGCTGATTTTGAGAATTACTTTGTTTGGTGGAATGTCTTCAGGAAACAATGCTGTGTATGCAACCTAGAGTCAAAAACAGACATGCAAGTTATGCTGTAGCAGTATTTTACAGTCTTTGAACCACCTTTTTTTAAAAACTATTTGTAGTGCATCTTTCTGTACAGGAAACAATTTTCCTTTATGCAACACATTCCTAGAAATTCAAATCATGTTAAGCTTTAAAGTGTCACAGAAACAATGCCAAATTATGACAGTGAATAGGGCTCATCTTAGGTGATTAATGCAATACCATTTTGTATCTTCTGTTTATTCCATTGACACCTATGAAATGAAAATCTTGATGAATGTGCTAACAGAAACAATTGTTTTTATCACCTCATCAAGCAGTTTTGAGGGAAATACAGATTGTGATTCCCCAGAGTGGTTCTTGCAATGAGACTAATCCAACAGTGAATGATAATGTAATAATGGGAATTATATGAGTACGTGCATGCACAAATACACATACACACACACACACACACACACACACACATATATATTTATAAATTTTCTGTGAGTAGTACCATTAAGGAACTCTGGGTTGTATCGTGTTTTTTCTTTCACACAGACCTTTCTATTGCACTAACATCAGTTCCCTGGATTGCCTTTCCACACAATACAAGACAGCTAGCACTCTGAAAGCTGTGGTCAGGCCACACTACATGCATTCTCGACAACAGGACAGCAAGCTATATTCTTCTTTTCCACTGGATGTCTGGTATCTGGAAAGTTGAGGAAAGCTGGAGTTAAACTAGATGGATGACATTTGATGGATTGTGAAGGGACAGCTCATTCTTTTTTGCAGGGGAGGAGTAGCTGCCCAATGCCACCTCACAACACATCATCTGTTGTAAAGCCAACTAAGGCCGCTGCATACAAGACTCCTTTGAAAGCTTTATGAGACCATTATCCTTCATTCTTGGCTTCACAGGAATGCTTTATCCTGCTTCACTCCCAGATCACTGCAAATTCTTCAACTAAGACCATAACGATGAAAATCAGCATGGTCTATGAATATTCTGAATACTTGCAACCAGCAAGAGACACCAGTAGGGAAAGCATTGCTCTCAACAGAGTGGTCAGTTGCCATGGGTGGTGTTAACTCACCTGTTCACAAACTGGACTGTTGTCATTAACATCAGTGACAGTCACTTCCACAGCAGCCTGGGTCACAAAGAGGCCATCTGTGGCAGTGATGTTCAGATAATAAATGTCTTGCTCTTCCCGATCCAGGGGCCTTTTAACATAAACTTTCCATTCGTTCTGAACCAGTCCCAGAGCAAACCTCCCTTTGGGATTCCCTCCTGCAACAAGACAGGCAACACACAATGAGCTGTGGTGTCCCTTCAGAGCTCCCACCTGGTTTAAACACAGAGACACACCACTAAGCAGCCATGATTTCTTTCACAGCTTTTGGTGCTCCCAAACTTGCAGACTCAGGAAATCTGTAATGAAATTACACTCCCCCGTATGTTTACTGCCCCCCGAATGCCCTGTATGAAAGTGAACTGATAACTTTCAGTGGAAAAAAAATCCATTTAGCAGAGCTGAAGATGATCTCTCTTTTAGTTCTCCGTAAGGGTAATCAAATTCAAACTGTGAACAATCAATAGTCCTCTCGGGCTGGTACAATTGTCTTTCCACTCAGTCTCAGGAGAGGATGTAATACACCGTAGCTCTTGTTACCAAGACAATTTCATTAGCTGTTGATTATGCAATCAAGGACTGGAAGTGGGTTCTATTAAGGAATCCTCTAATGAAAGCTTTATCATACAGCTGCGCCATCCTGGTGCTTATTAAAATTCTAGTTTTTAAAAAAGTTACATGACACAGGAAGACACATTAGTATTAAATAACAAGAGGTCATTTGAGGAACAGTGGGAAGACAAACAGTACAAATGGATCAAATGTATCTGAGAGTGAAAGCTGGTGAAGAGTGTGCAGGAGATAAAACAGAAAAGTTTTTTACCATGACATAACACTGACACTGACTCTGGCAATGCTGCTCTTCCACATCACTAAACTGAATGGTGCCAAAAAAATGTTGGGAGAGGGAAAGTTTTGGTCCACATCATCCTCAGGGGGAAGGGAAGGGAAGGGAAGGGAAGAACATGCCACATACAGAAGCGTGCAATAATTAAGGCGGGCACAATTGTTAATGTTTCTAACAGTTATTTACTCTTTTATCTGAAATAGTACAGTCTCCTACCTGGTCCATGAAAAAATCACCTTCAATCACCTTTCTGTGTGTCTGATCCAAAACTCCTGTCAGACCAGGCAGTAAAATCTTTTAAACCAATGTTATGACTTTGCTTTGCTAGTCAGCTAAGCCCCATACAGATGCTTGCTCATTTCCTCCCCAATGGGAATAGGAGGAGAATCTGAAGGGTAAAAGTAAGAAAACTCATGGGTTGAGACAAAGACAGTTTAATAGGTAAAGCAAAAGCTCTCTGTATAAGCAAAAAAAAAAAAAAAATCATGGCAGGTGTTCAGCCATCTCCAGGAAAGCAGGGCTTTGTCACCCTGACAGTAACTTGGGAAGATAAAGGCCATTAACTCTGAACATCTCCCCTTCCTCCTTCTTTCCTCAGCTTTTATATGCTGAGCATGCGCGATACAGAGTGGAATATCCATGTGGTCAGTTGGGATCAGCTGTCCCAGCTGTGTCTCCTCCCATCTCCTTGTGTACCCCCACTCTCCTCACTGGTGGGTTGCCTGAGGACTAGAACAGGCCTTGACTCTGTGTTAGCTCTGCTCAGAAGTAACTAAAACATCCTTGTGACCTCACAGATCCAAATCACAGCTCCATAGCAGATTCTTTTTAGAAAATTAATTCTACCCTAGCCAAAGCCAGTAAAGCCAGCTACCCAGTCTTCTGTGCCCAGCTTGGTCTGTAAAAATGTACCTGCACATTTAAGAATTGAGGATAGAGCACTACACTCATAGCAAACTCATGTGCTACAGAAACTGAGTGAGGAAATATTAAAAAGCATCATGATGCTCCACTGGCTGAACTATAATCACAGCCAACCCGCTACTAGCTCTCTGCCCACCACATTAAGCTTTCTCCTATGGTCTCCATGCAGGAATTCAATCTCAGAACTATTTTCCATGCTGCTCATGTTTAAAAGTGCTATAAAACTATAAAGGGAATGCTTATTCTTTCTTGTAACATGTTCAAGAATGTCAAATATGCTAGTGTGCATTTGCTTACAAATTAATCAGGGTTCTGACATGTGTCATGGGATATGTACAAGCTGAATGGAAAGACCAGGCTCTTAAACCTTCCCCTCTAATACTTCCACTGAATGATTGCATAAGTAAGTATTAAAAAAACCAAGACAATCCAAGGTTGAATTTATTTGTGTTGACTCTGTTGTCAGGCAATTAGTGTCTCTGATATGATGCTTCTGTTGTCACAATTCTGTCAGTTCTCAGGGGCCTTTTTGTCAAAATAACAGCACAGAGGACGTCTGAACTTGAAGTTGAGCTTAAAACCAATCAAAAAAGTCAAATGTCCATTCCACACCTTCTTTCTACATCAAAAAGCAGGAAAGAGGTCACAGGCTGTAATCTATGCCTTCTTCATTAGCTATCAATGACAAGATAGACTGGTTTCTATTTAATATGAAAACTAAGTCAGTTGAGTCAGGCTGAGCAAATCTTTCTTGTTAAGAGTCACCATTTGTGCTAGCTGTGACTGTGCCAAAAAAAGCAAGTTGTAATGAATAGGATTTCCAGAAAATTAGTCAGATAGGCATTATAATTATAAAAGGCTTTTGAATCATACAGAGCACTAAACTCATGTATCAAATATAAATATTTTCTGTTGATAGAAAACCACCCTTTTTGATCACAAAACTAAGCAGTTTTCCCATTCCATGATAGTCTGGAATAGTCACCATTGTTTAATCTGTTGTGTCATATAAACACACATTTCTCCTAAAGAGGGTTACAAAGAGTGTTGATGTATACTACTGGCCAGATCTGAATACAATCCAAGGAAATGAGAATCTGTCCACTGACTTGAGCTTGAATGTGACTTCAAAGAAGGCAGACCCCTGCTGACTGACATTAAATTCCTTCTATTCAATTCAACACCAGCATAAAAAAAAGCTTAACTTTCCTTTATAAAAGGCTGTAATCTTGTCATAGTGAGTTTAATGTTGTAAACCATTAATAAAAGTAGTCTTAAATATCCTTATTTTGCTTCATGATATTAATCAGGGCTTTCCTGCATATTAGTCCTTTTGTAAAATGAAATTATTAACTATCCTGACCAGCTAGGAAGCAATATACTCAAGGTATGGGCATCCCATTGCTAAGAAAAGAGGAAAGGTAAAATCTAATTAAAATCAGCTGGTGGCTTTTATGGTTAGCAGAAACACTACCTTGAAGCAATTTTAAAATCACTGTTGCTTTGTTGCTAATGGAATGGCTTTTAAATCATACCTAGGAATTTGGGGAATATGTATAAAAAATGGTCCTTGGGATCTCTTTCCCCCCTTTTTACTCCACTAGAAAAGAATCAGTCTGAATGACCAAGAAATCTGTGCAATAAGGAGGAATAGTGGTTTATCTGCATGTCTTTTTTATGAGCACTTTTTTTTTTTTTTTTTTTTGCTTCTCAGGACTGGCTCTATACTTCACTGATGGAAGGCAAAGGTGGACTATAAAGTTTAAGAGATATAATGAGATATAAAACTAAAACACAACCAAGAAAATATTCTCAAAAGTGGAAAGGCAAAAAAATCCACACTGTGGCCCAGGAAACCATTTCCTAGTACTTCTACATATGTCTTGATGCAGATCTTGTTCTGCAGTGATTAATTAACTTTTTCACTAATATATGCAAGCAGATTCAGTTTCCTAGGGGCATTCTAATTAATTAGTTTTTCGCTCTGAATAATGTAGCTTTTCTAAACGGAAGCCTCCTGACTACATGTATTAATGGATTCTTTAAAATCTTTTGGCAGTTTTCTTATGTTCTACTTTGAATGTCACAACAGTGAAGTGCCAGCTACAAAAAACACTCCAGTAACTTTTTAGAAAGGCTTTGAGGCTAAAAGAATCAGCAGTATCTTTTATCTTTTGTTACTTGAAGTTTAAATAATGCTCTCCCTCCTTCCCTAGTCAGCAAATACTACAAAGCCAAATCAAGCTCAAGTTGAAGTAAAGAAAGAAAACAGCCAGATACAAATGAAATGCAGAGACACAGTGATCCAAAATAAACAAATCCTGACACACATCATTACTAAAGCACACACAGAGGCCATTATAGCAACTAAAAGGGAATGGAAAACTAGAAGCCAACAGTATCAGTTTTCATTGCAATGTTCCCATCTGGGAGGGGGGACCGAATATTTACTAATTTATTTATTTAGCTTCTGTCTTACATTTATGCATTTACTTAAGTACTTTCAATTCCCAGTTAGAACTCTAGGCATTTGCATTACACAAAATCAATACATTTATCCTCCACTCCCAGTTTAAGATGTTGCATGTTTACTCAGCTTCTGAAATGATAAATCCAATCCTCCTAGCTTTAGTACCATAACATTGTAGAAAGTGTTCATCTGGCAACACAAGGGCTGCCCAAACACTGAAATATCAATTTCTCCAGAATTCCAGTATATCAAATATATGATAAAAAATAACAAAAGCCACACCTTTGCTCACACTGGGCAATCAACCCAGCAAATGAACTACCATGTACAATACCACTTCTTTCTTCCAAAACACACTGTCCATCTTCCTTGTATTCAGCTGAACCAAGCTTAAAGACTGTTGTCCTCCCTGGCTTTATGTGCCAGAGGAAGCTTAATTAACATCACCGAAGAACACAAAACACTTTACTGTACCAGTGTCTTGGCAGCTGACATTTTTCTGGTGGCTTTTCATGGTTTGCCACTCTTAAATTTCAGTAATATCTGGCTGGGTGTAGATTGGCTAGATATCAGAAGAACCCTGGTTTTAGGCAAACTGCCCCAAATGATATAGGCAATGACCTCAAATAAGCCTTCAAAAGAAAACTACTTTGCTTCCTAAGTGCATTTGTGTCGTCTGCACTTCCTATTGATTTTCTGTTAAGATTTATGTGTAGTGCTTTTGCTTTGTGAACATCTCCAGTTGCTACTGAATGACAAATAACCAAGAGTAAGTGCGAATTTTTTTCCCCTACCATCAAATGCAAATGAAGGTGGACTTGACAAAGGCAACTACTTGGCAGTAATCATGAAAAACAATCATAAACTGAAGGAATCCAAGCAGAATACTTATTTATCCACACAAATGTATCTACCCTGTTGGGGTGTGTTTCTAATCAGTTGTAGTTAAATGGATTTAAGTTATGTATGTCCCATCCTCCCCTTTATGTTAAAAGTGGTTCTGCCCAGGTTGTCTCCTCCCCTGAACCCCTGTCTGTGGTTCTGCCCAGGTTGTCTCCTCCCCTGAACCCCTGTCTGTTTTCTTGTGACCTCCCTTGTTGTCCTAGCAACCAAATGTATCCTTTGCACTGTTCCTCCCTGGTGCCCTGCCTGTCACTCGGCAACCCATCCCTTTCCTCCAGAACCTTCTCTCCAGGGGGCCGAGTGATTGGTTCAGGGGCCGGGGCTCCTCCCCAGGATACCCCAGGTTGGTCAAGCCGGGTTATCAATTCCCCCTTGCCTATTACCCCCTGGTCCTCTATTGGTTGGAGGCCAGGCCCCTCCTTTGTACCCACCCCTCTTTAAAAGTGGCTGTAGCCTTGTTACCTTTGTCTCTGTCTTCTGGACATCCTCGCTCCTCCAAGTCCCTATCTCTCAATAAACCCAGTTCCTCCAGGAGTCAGAGTCCTCCTTTTGTCTCTTCTGCCAGAGCTAGCCAAGGCCTTCTAAGGCACACGATCCCTGTCACAGCGGATCAGAGAGTGTGCACTTTCAGCACTGCAGCTCGGGTGCCATCGGGCTCGGCTGGGCCGCCCTGAAAAGGGACACACGCGGCTGCACTACCCCTTTTCAAGACTGAGCAGAAGACTGCAATAGGCACTTGTACTTCTCAAAAGGGCACGAAGGACTCTTCCGTGACCACATCTGCCCCAGATTATTTATTTATCTTATCTTCTAAATAATGATTTCTTCTATCTATCTTCTATGTGCTACTTTTCTCCAGATGCATTTTCACAAAGCTGTTTTTGGTGGATACACATGACATAGTTTGTCTTCTTCTTCCTTTTTGTTAATGTATAATTTTTACTCAGAGTTTACTGTATTCACAGAAGTTTCTATCAATCAAAATGCCTTCAGAAAGCCACAGCTTTTGAATAATCATCTAGCTAAGCTGATTCCATGAAATACACAAGTGCACTTCCTGAGATCAACTTGAGGTAAAGTGTGAATAGACTATTTTGTAAGTGAAACTATATTTTATCATGTTTTGACATTTTAATCAAAAGAACCTAATTCTTCCTTGTGCATTTCCCAAGCTCAAATGATATATTCAAAGGAAGTGGAATTTCTGAGTCCATTCTGTGCTGTAGTAATTGTACACTAAGAAAGTTTTGGGCTTTGACATCTAATGTTTTCAGAAGTTAACAGAACAGCAAAATATCTGTCATGTTTTGAACTGTGGCAGAAACTAAGGTACAGAATAATCTATAATTTATGAGTCATATCTGACAGTTGTTATTCAAAAGTCCAGTTTTTGCTAAATTAACAGCACTGGTATGTGAAATAAAAACATCACCCAACTAAAGGCACAATGCATTATAAGAGATGACTGCCAGACTTCACAATAAAGCCAATGATCCCAGCACACTAACATATCTTTGTTACAAACCTAAAGATTTTCATTTCCCATTGTACTTTCTACAATGGGATCCCCAAACTCTTTCAAATATCCCAAAATCTCTAGTATGAGGCACTACTGATTTATTTTTACATATGTGGGAACTGGGCCACCAGCAGCTAATGCACCTTGCCCGGTGCCTCTAAATCCTGACATTTACACACTGGACTACTTTTGCCTCTACTTCTAATATCCTACAGCTCATTACACTATTAACACATAGTCTTTGCAAATCTTAAAACTGAATCCAAAATTTCAAGTTACAATTAATCAACGTATTTCTGGTTGCTTTGAAAATGATGCCACTTGTGATGTGCAGCACAGGCAGTCTGTGACTGACTGGGGTGTCACACTACTCTCTACACACCATCTCACAGCCATTTTCATTTTGATAGACAAACGGGTAGGAGCTTTACCTTCCAGAGCAAAATACACTAACTATTTTCCCATTAGTTAAGTAATTTTTGCCCACAGCCTGCTTCCTACGTGCGGTCTTATAAGTTGAATCCCATCCAGTGTGAAAAATGTGGGTTTTTCCAATAATTCGGTTATTACTAGGTAGTTAATAATAGCTCTTGAATTGCTAAGGTTGGGGGGAGTGAGAAAGTTGTTCCCTAACACAAGCTATTGGACAATGCAAGATGGAAGGAGAAAAATAACTGTAGCACCCATCACTCATAACATACTCACACAAAAGCTAGGCTGAATCTAGGAGAGAAAAATGATAATAAATACACAGTAGGAAAGAGCAATGTTACCATGCTCTGAAAAATGTATTAGCAATGTAATCAAAATTTCCTTATGCTGTATATAACAATGCATGGCAGCTAACCAGTGCTTCCAAGTGTATTACTATTTTCCTGGCAAGAAATCAGCGCTGATAATAAATGGCATCCCTCATTCCATAATGTAAAATTCATTTGTGCCCCGCCTTTTATTTATTTTCATTCCAAATAGTGGTATTTCAAAACGGCTCTGGCATCCACTTTCCTATCTCAAAAAAAAAAAAGTCATTTCAAAAGAAATTTAAATGCTTGGAAGTAAAAGGATTTTCTCTATATAAAGAAAATTTTCCTTTTCCCTTGTTTGAAACATTAATTCATGATTGTTTTCAAGCTGACATATCAATTATGATGGGTTGATGGCTACACTACATTGTACTGCAGCAAATCAGGAAGCATTCATCTTGGAAAATTGAGAGAGCAACACAGACACACAGACACACACACACACATTCCTCTCCCTCTTTTCAGCTTTGCTGCAAATTTGAAAATTCTGTCCAAAAAAAAAAAAAAAAAAAGGAATGTAATTGAATCATTCACAGTGATAATTTAGCTGAAACCCTGCTAAACATTCACCTAAAACTGGACACATGCACAGTTCTTCAGTAAGCTGGTTATGGGAAGAAAGCATGCAAGCTGTTTCTCACCTGTAATATGGTAGCTAACCTGCCGATTGACATCAGACGTGTCTTCATCCCAGGTGCTAAGAACAGCCACAACTTCCCCTGGAGGGTCACTCTCCTTCACCGACCCTCTGTACACCTCGTGCTCAAAGACAGGTGCATTATCGTTTATATCTGTCACAGTAACTGAGACCAAGGTGGTTGAGGACAAGGACAAAGCTTCCCCCAGATCTGAGGCCACCACTGCAAAGGTGAAAGCAGAATCCTTTTCATGGTCCAGATCCTTCAGTGTACTGATCCAGCCACTGTTGCTATCAATGGTGAAAGCTTCTGTGATCTTCTGCAGCTCTGATTCCACTGCAAGTGTGTACGTGACCTGCCCATTCGCACTCGAGTCTGCATCAAGCGCCTTGACTTGCATAAGTTTTGTTCCTATAGGCATCCCTTCCATTATTACAGCATCATAGCTAGCCGCTTCAAACACAGGCTTGTTGTCATTTACATCCAACACCTTCACCTCCACATCCACAGTCAGCACAATGTCTACTTTGTCTAACTGAATTGTGGCTGCAACTTTGAAGTGAAAGGCGGGATTTATTTCGTGGTCAAGTCTCTTATCCAATTTTATGAGCCCTGTGTCCTTCTCTATGATGAAAACCCCTTCTTTGTTGTTTTCAGATAGCTCACCATTAACTGTGCTATACAAAGCACCCTGATTGGGCAAAACATGGAGAATGTCAATAGTACTGCCTATGAGGGTGTCTTCCGCCACGGTGAAAGAATACTGGGGTTGAGAAAAAGAAGGCAAAATGGTTTCTGGTGGTAAAACATGGATGTAGACAGGAATGAGGGAATGCTTTACAGGAATGCCACTATCAACTGCTTTGACAAAGAATGACAGAACAGTGTTTTTCAGTTGGTTAAAGCTACCCTTTGTGACCATCCATCCATTATCTGGATCAATTTCAAGCAGATCAGCTACTGAAACAGAGGCTTCACTATACAGAGAATAGGTAATTCTGGAATTGGCTCCATCATCTTGATCTACTGCTTGCACTTGGGTCACCAAGTAACCTTTCCCAACATCTGCTTTGACGCTTGCTCTGTATTCGACTGTCATAAATTTGGGAGCATTGTCATTCTCATCCACTACTATCACTCTCACAGTGCAAAACGTAGTTCTGCCACCTCCGTCAAGGGCTCTCAAGAATATATCGATATCACTTTCCAGCGGGTTCTCACGGTCTAACCTCTCAGTTGTCAGAATCTGCCCATTTGCATCAATTAAAAATCGGTCCTTGGCGAAGTCATTTATTATGGAGTAGCTGATCTGGCCATATACACCTGAATCCCCATCTGTTGCCTTCACATGGATAACCTTGATTCCAGGAGCAGCGTTTTCTCTAACCTCTGCAACATAAATGCTCTGTGAAAACACAGGGCTGTAGAGGTTGGCCCCAAGGATCTGAATGTGCACCTGAGCCGTGCTGGTGAACAGCCCGTCTGACACAGAGACGTTCAGGCTGTACAAGGGCTCCATCCTCTGCTTGCGATGGTTGGAAAGGGTGATAACACCGCTCTTGCTGTCCATAATGAAACTGGTCCGATCATTTCCTGATAGGATGCTGTACTCCAGTCTGTCAAAATCAGAGCTGTCAGCATCAGAAGCTTGGACACAAGTCACAAAATGACCCCGAGGTGCCAGTTCGCTCACATATGATTCATATATTAATTGGTTAAAAACTGGAGGGTTGTCATTCATATCTGTTATTGAGATACTAATGAGAACCTCGCTGCTCAGAGGTGGGAACCCATTATCAGTTGCTCTGACTTTCAAGCTGCACTGCTGTATGACTTCATGATCCAGCATTCGGGCTGTCAAAATTAGGCCACTGCTGCTGTCTATATGGAAATAGTCAGTGCTGTTAAAGGTATCCTGGACTATCTGATACTGTACAATCTTGTTATTGTCAGAGTCAGCATCAGTAGCAACAACCTGCAGCACAGGAGTGCCAATCAAAGAAGCTTCAGACAGAGTAGCATTATAAGCTGTCTGATCAAAAACTGGAGGATTATCATTAACATCATTAACAATCAAGTCCACAGTTACCTCCGCACGAGCACCAGTGAGAGCATCGCTGGCTCGCACCATCAGCTTGAAAAGAGAATTTATTTCATAGTCCAGTGGGCTGATGACACTCAGAACTCCAGTATCAAAGTCGATATTAAACTGGTTGTAGGGATCTCCATCAACAATGATATAAATGATACCCTGGCCTTCTGGGCTGGTTGCATTTATGCTTAAAATTGGCATGTGCATTTCTACATCTTCATTCACAGAAGCTGTATAGAAGGGCTTGTCAAACACAGGCATTGCTTTGTTAACAATAGTAATGGGGAGCTCTACTGACGCAGACAATGATGGGTTACCACCATCTTTGGCAAGAATGACAACCAAGTACTCTATATTAGACAAATCAGAATTGAAGGCTTCTTTTAAAGTGACACTGCCAGACCCTCTATCAATTTCAAAATGTCCGTAGTCTTCCTTCAGCAGGTATGACACCTCGCCATTGTCACCCTTGTCTTTATCAATAGCTGTCACTCGATATATCAGGGTACCAGGTTCAGCATCAACCTGCACAGCAGCATAGTATGGAAGCCCTACAAACACCGGGGAATTGTCATTTATGTCCTCAATGTAAACTCTCACCACGACTCGAGCAACACGGAGGTGATCTAGCTCACGGCTTGCTTCCACCACCAACTCATACAGCTCCTGTTCCTCTCGGTCAAAGGGGATACCAGTGGTCTGAATGACTCCTGAGGTGGATTTGATTTTAAATTTGTTTCCTGGGTTTAATATGCTGTATTTCAAAGGCTCATTGAGGCGGTTGCCAACAGCATTCACCACAGCGATCTTTGTGATATTGGTGCTGTTTTCTGATATAGAAGTGGAATAAAAATTTTGTGTGAAATGGAGTCCACTATCCATAGCTTCTTTTACCATTATTGTCACCATAGCAGTGTTATAAAATTTCCCATCAGATACTCTTACTATTAGCATATAGTGGTCTTTAGAGAGACTATTGTTTTTAATGGTGAGTACCCCTGTGCTTGAGTCAATTAAAAAATGCTCCATATTGCCTTCAATTATACTAAATGTTAGTTCTGGAGGGATCTCTGAATCTGGGTCTGAAGCTTTGACTTTGAGAACCTCAACACCAATATATGTCGGCAGGAGCAAGACTGTCTCAAACACGGCCTGGCTGAAGACTGGTGGGTTGTCATTGACATCAGTTACCTCAATAGTCACTTCAACTGGGCTCTCCGCTGTAAGCTGGGGATTCCCACTGTCTCTAACATGAACATGGAAGTGGAAGTGGGCTATCATTTCATGATCTAAATTTGCAATTGTTCTGATTGCACCTGTGCTGGAATCTACAGTGAAATACTTTTTTGCAGTTGATTCCACAATCTGGTAGACAAGCAAAGCGTTCTGGTTGCTGTCAGCATCGGTGGCACGTATCACGAGGGGACTGTTGTTTGCACTCCTGACCACGCTGTTCACAGGAGCAGCTTCGCTTATGCTGCCCGAGTACTGAGAGAAGAGAAAAACTGGTGGGTTGTCATTTTCATCAACAATTTGAATGTTTACAGTGGCATTTGATGCCATGCCTGCCATATTTGTTGCCTGTACGATGAGCTGATAGGAGGAAGAACGTTCATAATCAAGGGCCTTTTGACTGGTGATCACACCAGAATACGGGTTTATGGTGAAGACTCCATCAACATTGCCATCTTTAACCTCATAAACTAATGTGGACTGACTGATTGCAGAGAGAGAAATGACAGAAGTACCAATATCCACATTTTCATTGACCTCTGCTTGGTATTCTTTTAGAGTGAACTTAGGGTGGGAGTTATCTGCCATCGTCACAGATATCCGCACAATTGCTGTTGCAGACAGCGCTGGAGAACCTTGATCAGTCACTTTGACTGACAAAACAAACTGTCCCATTGTGGTTAAGTCTGGCTCCTTGAGTAACGTAATGATGCCTAAAACTGGTTCAATCTTGAATGTGTTTCCTGTATTTCCTAAAACAAAGATATTGAATGAGATTAGAAATGAAATATGACTCACTTTATGATAACTTAAACCAAGAGCAATAAGCTGCATTTTAAAGGCTGCTACTTAAATAAAAAAACAAAAAAAACCCCAATGTAACAGTATTCTGAAGGCCCTTCCAGCCCTTCTTTCTGCTAATTAGAGAGCTCCGTAGATGAGGTATTCAAAGCATCAGAAACTCAGGTGCTACTACCTCTGTATCTTGATGCTCAGTACCAGCATCAGAGCAAGAACTGCATGCACATTACTCCTACTGAAATAGGGAAAAGCATCCCTAAATTACAGAAATTAGTCAAATACATGTACACCTAAGGCAAAGAAATGAGATCAGAGGCTAACAAGCCAATTACATGACTAATGGATAACAACTCAGGCTCCTAATTGAATGGGATATTAAGAAACCATACAGGAGATTACAGTAGTTCAAGACTCAAATAACTGAATATAAAAAGGTTAAAGTGGCATTTAGAAAAAATGAAACAGAGCAAATAGCATAGGAAAGAGATTCAAGTGTCTTGTGGCACAAAGTTTTATCATATGATCTCTGAGGAGGATGAATCCAGATGAACGAGATTTAGCAGAAAATGTAATGAAATACCTGTTACAACATGAAAGCATGGATATCACTGACTGCATAAAGGTGAAAACAGTAAATTTGGATCAGAGAACTTTTTGGGGGCCTTTATTTCTTTCTGGCTTTTTTTGCCAATCCCTTCTTCAGCAAGACAGATTCAAAACTTTCTGTATGTATTCCTACCCTGTAATTAGAGATCACCTTTAATTGGCAATCCTTATTTTGCTCTTTTACTGAGTTTCTGCTTGAAGCAAGGATGCTGCATATACACATGGCAAATATAAGCATACAGACTCTTTTCTTGATTTTGATTCTAAATAGAAACAGCATATACTGATTTGCAGCAATTTCAATCACTATACCATGTTCCCTCTATTGTACTTCACATCTTCAAATCTAGAGCTGCTTCCAATCTATGGTCAAGCATCCACTCAAGGTTGGGAGAGAAATATATCTCAGGTGATATACAAGAGGGGTTTTTTGAAGTGCGATTGTTACAGGTGCTGTGCACAGAGCAATAAATGTGTAAGTTGGAGCTGGAATGCCTAAATACATGGAATCCTAAAGGAAGTGAGGTAATATGAACTATTTTTAAGATATGATTCACTATCTGTTGTAAATTCTGGAGGTTACTTAAGCTACATACTAGTCTATGTATTTCAATACTGGTAGTGGATTGCTATTTATATCCTTCCTTTCAGATCACTAAAGTTTACTCTACTAGCTAAACCAAAAATTGTGCTATTCACCCAGGAGGTGAGATTCTTCCAGAGCTACAAATCCTCATAAAAATAATGGCATCTGTCACATTTACAGACACTACAAAAGCTGCTGCTGTTATTTTGTCAGTGCTTGCTAATACAAATAATTTTGAGCCACTGACTGTCTCCTGCAAGGCAAGAGCTGGTTCTTCTCCTTTAGGAATTTCTTATGAAATTACACAAAAACTACTTTCTTTACCAATTGCTCTCTTCAGAGCAATGTAAGATGTGGTGAGTAATCCCCCTGAATCAAAGGGCTGTGTACAATCTGAATTCTGCAGTTAAAATCAATATCCTCAACTGCACATTTTATGGATCACAGAAACTACAGCAGCAGAATACTGAATTTTGATGCACCTGAGATCGGGACATCTATGGATAATGAAACTGGAGGAGTGTGAGGCTTACAGTAAATGGAAGTTTGAGGTCTGAAAATGCAGAGAGAGATCATGATGAAACAGAAACAGGCTGTAATGAAAAAGAGAGTATCTAGAAATTATCTAATAGATAAACCATCTTTTTTTAATCATAATATTTCCCTGCCTGCATCAGGTAGGATTCTATTACCAGCGTAATTGGAATTATACTCCTTAGATGTCAGGATGCTCCTGACATTGTGACACCTCCAGATGACTGAGAACCCATAATAGTAATAAGGTGTCAAGAAAAAGCTGGGAATAGTCTTGAAAAACATTGCCCCAGGAACTTGATCTAGCCTGCTCAGAATTTGTTCCATAAGGACAGTGTTTTCCTGTCTGGGCACCTGTAAGATTGCCCCTAATTTAAATTGAAGGCCACTGGAGAACACTGAGAAGTAATTGGCAGGAACAAACACAGTGCATAAAGGAAGTATTTGCTTTGGAGTGCTAACATCTTCCTCATTCTAAGTTCAATACTTTCAGCTGCAAAAGACTTCACTTTCTGGTTTGCTGAAGGTAATCTCCTTCCACAGAGCATACAAGATAATGAAAGAAAAATTGTTCCTTGGTCTCTAAACTTCAGGTTGTATCATCTTAATTTAAGGTATGAGCTTGAATTATATGAAGCTAAATCAGTATAAGATGGTGTAGATATTTTGTGTCATTAGTTGTCATGTACTCTGTTCCTAACTGACATGAGCTATCCTAGCTGGTAACAAGTCTTTAAAATAATATAGGGATAAATAATGATCCAGGAGGATCAGAGCCTAATGCTGGTAAAGGCCTGTGATATGCCTAATCGGGTATAATCTGAAATACCTGTGAATTCTTTTTATGGAAATATAAGTTTCAAGTTTTGCTAATATTACAGTGGAAAGATTAATATTATGAATAAAATCCCCTAAGTAGAAATGAAACATTACAAAATGCAAAGGTTACAAATTTCTAATTCTTTCTGTCTTTTTCCAGGCATCCCCCTCTTATATATCTGTCAATCATTTCTCTCAAAGATAATTCTTAACTTCAGATTCATGTGACCCAGAGGAACTTAAATTGACTTGCACGTGTGTCAGAGGTAATGCAAATGTTTTACTACTGTGCTGTTGCACCAGTAGAAGAATGCTTTTGCTGGTACAAAATGTGCTGAATGTAAATATACAGTGTTTAACTGCAAAAGCAATTTTCATCTGGTATCATTATGCCCTCTCTTAGTTTCAAAGAGACCTTGTGCCATTAAAATGCTATGGCAGAAGTTTTAGCATAGCCCTGTTGTTAGTCTCTGCGCTCCTCTGGTCTGAATACTGGCAAAGATATCAGGACATACCAGCTGTTGTGGCACTGTTTTGTGGAGGATGCACTGTACACTAGTCTGAAACCAGAGCCTTGAAAACAAGTCACTGGCTGCAGTTTTGAATAACTATCTTCTGTGATGGCTTTGACCCAATGACTTAGAGGTAACAGGCTCTGTAGCCATCTGGTGAAAATGAACCAGTCACAGAATAACAGAATGGCTGGACTAGAAAGGAACCACTGGAGAGCATCTGGTCCAGCCATCCTGCTAAAGCAGGTTCACCTACAGCAGGATGCACAGGATCCTGTGGAGTTCTGAACATCTCCAGAGAAGGAGACTCCATAATTTCTCTTGGGCAACCTGTTCCAGATTGAGTTTGTTCTGACAGGTTTTGGGTATAGTGGCTTCAAAATAAAATTTAAAAAAAACCCAACAGAACACCAACAATGCCCATCTGTACAAAAGAAAGTAGACCAAAGAAGCTGAATTGAGTGTCAAGACAGATGACCATCACATCTCTGTTCTGTGTCTGGCATGATCTATGATACTTCATTTTTGGCCTCTGTCCTAACCTGCTTCAATAGTATAGATAAGCTCTGCATTTTCTCCTTTGTCTTTGTCCAGTGCTGTGACCTGCAACACTGCTGATCCAACTGCTGCTGATTCAAACACTGAGGCTTCATACAATGGGCTGGTGAAGTAGGGACTGTGGTCATTGGAGTCTTCTACATTTATGATGACTCTGGCCAGGTTTCTTCTGTAAGGGAATTCTTGATCTCGGACCTATAGAACAAGTACATAACACACAATTTGACTGCCATCTAGTAAAACTTCACAAGTATTACTCTTCTGAGTGTGAATACTACTTTCAGTTCTATTTAATACAAAGTAGTAAAAAAATCCATTTGTCCCAAAGAACAGTCTAAAATACATTCACACATGGGATGACAGATACGAAAATCAAAGAAACAGGAAAGAGCTTAGCAAATATTTTTTTCACTTGTGAAAAAATGCATTGCAACTAACCATCATGATGTGAATTTTTGAAGTGGCAACCACATGAGATCTTAAAGTTGGGTTGAGGTTTGCAAGAATTTCCTTTTTTATTAATACTTGCTGAATGGTCACGCCTTGAACTTGCCATTGCCTTCTTTACAGCATATAGGCATGTCAGTCTAATGCTTGCAGCTGCCAATGGACTACTTCATGATTATTTACATAGATAACCATATCAACAGTAAACAGAAGAGGAATCACTTAATGAAGTGCTGGTAACTGTCAACAGAGGTGTAAGTTACCACACCAGTCTCAACCCCATCCAAAATACCTCAGCACTGCTTCACTGATAATCCTGCCACCACCATCTCCGGAAAATTTTGGTTCTTCTTAAACAGAGGAAAAGACCTATAGTATCAGGTGGAGATCAAAACCAAGCACCAGGGAATTACCTCTCTTGGCCATGTGTTTCTGTGATTCAGTTTATAGCTATTTCTTAGTCTGCTTGCCAAAGTATATGCAACATTTTACTCTGTGAGTGGACACCACACTCAGCTGCTCCTTACTGCATCTCACAGCAGCTTTTTGCTTCCTAGGGTGCTCTGCCAAAGCTGCCCCTGTACCTAACACACCATGAGTATTTCCTTAGGAGGCCTCTGCTGCAGAAGTCTTAAGTAGGTGAAGAAAATAGTGGTCTCCAATTTTTAAACTAACACAGTTTGTTTTGTTTTTGTTCTTTTAAAAATTATGTCCGTGATATACAACCTCCACTTGAAAACAGACAGATTTATGTTCTGTAGTCTAGACACACCAAGCAAAAATTGGTAATTAACTTTTTTCTGCATACCCAAAGATCTGGAAATATAGATAAAGGAAAGCTATTTTGTATATCAACAGTTTATGTACTGAAATAAGTCCATAAAAGTAAGCTATAAATGAGGCTTGTATTCAGAAAGGCTGTAGTGTTCTCCATGGCAAGAAAGCAGTTATCTCCCTGTGAATAAATTCTCAAATAACTTTCAGCCTCACTTCAGAAAGTCTGAAAATTACCTTGAGGGAGAGGACCAGATGCCAAGAGATTAAATAATTACCTGCTTGCTCTCCCTTGAGATAGAGAATCATATCACATTCCATACAATGGATTCACAATAAGGTTTCCCAAAAAGCTGAAATAAAAACTGTGAAATAAATGCACAGCAGGACAGGCAAGTTTAAATTAGTGGCTACTTACTGCACAGTCCTTCACTCAAGAGAAGCCTACTCCATGCATGTCCCTGAAGCAGCCACGACTGCGGCCAGACCCAAGTGAGTACTGCATTCTTACCATGACATTAAGGATGTGCTTATCTTGAGCTTCGTGGTCTAATCTCTCAGCTGTGTAGAGAACCCCGGTGTTGGGATCAATTCTGAACTTCCTCATGCTGACTGTATCGATGCTGCTGTGAATAGTGTAGCTCAGCTTATGCTTTTCGTCTCTGTCTATAGCTTCAATTTGCAGAATTTCAGTATCAGGGAGGATGTCCTCTGAGATGGTGACATCGTAACTTGGCTGAGAGAATTCTGGGCAATTATCATTGTTATCCAACACTTTGATAAGAACCTACAGTTAATAAAAAAAAAAGACATCTGAAGTTATTGAAGTCCAGTCAGACTACTGAATAAGCACCTAGAGAAATGCAATTTACTTTGAATGGCTGAAGATGTTATGCGCTGCATGCTGGGACTGAGAAATATTATTTAATACTAAATTCTTATTTTTCAGATCAAAAGAAAAAGAAAGAATTTGACTTTGGAAGTAAAATGTTCCTAACTGTAAGACCTACTCAGAGTCTGATGAAAGAAGCCCATATTTTCAGTATCTGTAGATTGGAAAGTATTTCTACAATGGTCATAAGGAAAGATTTTGTCCTTCCTTGTAACTGCCTTGGTTACAAGGGACTTCTGGAACTATTATGTAATTTCCTTTCCACTTCACTACTAATAAAGCTATAAAAGAATCCTTTTCATGTGGCTTAAATCTGCTTTTTATACAATCAAGATTCAGCTGAATCCTGTCTTTTCTGCCCAGTGTATTGCATTGGGGCTTACTGGCAACATCAAATTGTGCCAGCAGTGGAGACTTCAAGTTGCTGTGACACTTCAGATTGCTCTTACACCACCTGAGGTGGGCACAGGAATCACAACCTCACTACCACACAAGCACCCCCCACACAGATCAATACGTACCACCAAGGACAGCTGATCTCAGGGCACTGATGACACAGAAGGATTATTTTTTTGTTACATACTTGCTCTTCCTTTGCCAGTGATGGCTATCTTTATTGCCAACTAATTCACCTTCCTTTCCAACACCTATTTGTCACTTTTTTGTTGTGGTTTATGAGTGGTAGAACACTAAAAATGTGAATGAATGCTGTGTTCTTTGCCTCAAATCTGTCTTTAAAACTTCTGCATTAATTCTTAAGGAAACTTGGAGACGGTGAGAGCAGGCCAGGGTGCTGCTCTTGATGCCTATTACACAAGCTGACTCTGATAAATAATAAGAATCACTATTTTCCAAGCTTTGCCTTTCAAAGTTATGTTATGCATGTGTGGCTGTGATGACATTTTGTGGGTCTTGCATTGGAGAAGTCATTCCCTGGGAAAAACATGCTTTCCAGACTTTGTATGCCATAGATTGCTGGGGGTAGTGTGGCAGCAAAACCCCTGACAAACTGTGTAATACTGAAAGCTGAAATCTGAAGAGTTGACTCTTTTTCAGTGCTAGAAACAAAAAGTATTTTTTCCAGAATATACCTGTGAGAGCACACAGTCTAATTTAACAGTAAGTAAAACTGAATAATCTTGTTTATTCAAAGGCTTTGAAATAAGAAATAGTCCAACTAATGACTTGGGAAAGGCCACACACAGGACTCTTTGGTCAAACTAGGAGACCTGACCCATCACTCATGGTATTTTCTTTGTTGCTTTGTTACTTGGCTCTCTTTTAAGCAAGTATTTTATTGTTTTGCTTAATCTAGCCCCGTTCACCCATACTTTCTTAACAGAAGAAAAATACAGCTACACTTTTACTGCAATATTGCACAAACAGATGTTGGCCTCAGAGAGAAATGAAACTTTAGATTTCCATGATATGTGGGAGGGTTTGCAGAATACATTACCAGAAGGAACATGAGCAGTTGTAAGAAGCAGTTGTAATGAACTAGCCTGGGAACTGTTCAAAAGACAGCTGAAATAAAATGCTCTGCAAGTTAAATGGCATAAGACTTGCATTCCACACAATTTCATTTTCAGCAGATTATGGCATGCCAGAGTGAAGTAGGGTGAAGCCTATATTAAGTTATGCTTCAGCCTCGGACAGACAGCAATAAATATTGGGGGAAATACACATTGCTAGGCTATAATAATGATGAAGAGTTACTTAGCTTTTTATACTTTTATTGTTGCTGTAATATATCAAACATGTTTCTGATCTGACTGAGGAAAAAAACCCATTCAAATCTATGTCTTAAAAATTTGTGGAGATACAAATTGTAACATATGAAAGAAAGCCTGAGGAGAAGATTAAAAGTCTTGAACTCTAATCTAATGAGCCAGTGCTGAACCACTTTTTTAGTATAAGGAATAGACAGAGAAGCAATAGGAGCTGGGGATAAGCAGTATTTGATACTTATAGAAATTTTCTTGAGTAGTCAGTCCTTGACAGGTACCACTATAACACGACTGATAATTAACACATATAATTTATGTTGCTTTTCATTCATGACCAAAAACTTTGTCATGTATCATTTTAGACAGTCCAAAAGAGAAGTAAAAACTTTTCAAATAAATTGAAAACACCAAGAGTGCTTGACTCTGCTGATGCTAGTGCAGCACAGGCTAATGTGAACAAGGAAACTTCCATGTGAGGGACCGGCTTGTATCTGTGAATTTATTTTTAAAATTGGTGTGTGCAAGCTGAAGCTGTTCTGGAAGGTGAAAAGAAAAAAAAAAATACAGAAACACACCAATGCATCCTAAAAGCATTGCTACAGAAGTGACATGCTATTTTGTTTGCATGGTATATAATCATCCCAGAGCAGTGATTCACTTCCTATAATATCTAATGCATTTTGGGATCACTGGCAAACTGAGAAAGCAGAAGAGGGCATAAGGGTTTACCCATCCCAAGGCTTCCACTATGACTATCCAAGCCTTGATTCTTGCCTTTACTAGACTGCACAAACTGAACAGGGTGGGAGTGGATCAGCAGCAGAGACCAAGGGTAATTCATGAGACTGTGGAAATTACAGCATGGATTCACAGAGCAGCATTTCTTCCCACTGAGAAAGGTGTAAGCTGTTGCCCTCACACATATACAGACATAATCATGCTTGGGGAGTGCAAGGCATGGAGGGAAAAAACATAAAAAAATTGAGGCCCTCATTCACTGTCATCAGACTTCCAGAGAGCTATGCACTTAAAATTGCTTTGATCACTGCCAAAAAAACCCTTGTTTTTCCTTCTTTTTCTTTTCTCTCTTTCACTTCACATCTCCTGTAAGACTGATCAAGTGCCTGTTTAAGTGGCAGGCATCTTCCTCCCTAGAGATGCCAGTATTTTAATGATTTGTCAAGTGATCCACATTGAAATACACATTATTTATTACATACTTTGCACTTCAACTGCACTTCCATCTGGAGATGGAAGGCGATGGGTTAGAAATGCTAATGAATAAAGAAGTCATTATTGAGTCACAATTTCTTCTATTTAAGCAGTTAAGAGTATTTCTAATTTTTCTCAGCTGTCCTTCAAAATCCCCGAGAGTCAAATGTAATTTTAACATTTCTCTCCTTTAATACAGGGGGGTGTATTTTCCTTGCAACAAAAGAAAGTTATATATGGGAATACTGATTATACAGAGCTCTGTTAAACCTATAAATGGAACTTTTTAATGTTCTTAAAAATTGAGCTATCTTGGGAGTTACTTTAAACAAAACCAGGTAAAAGAAAATGGAGTTTTAGTCCCATTTAGAATAGATATTAGTCCCTTAGTTCTTCCAACATTTCTGAGGAGCAACTTTCCTATATTTTGTCCAGGAAAACTGCCTTGCAACAAGGTTACCAAAATCCCAGGTGAAGTGCAGTAGTAAAACTGGGGAAGGTGTTTTATTTTTGAGCCACACCCCTTTTATAAGGTTATCTTAAAATGCCATTCTTCCTACGCAGATTTGCTGCTCTAGCAGGATAACTTCTGATGAGATGTTACTTAAAAAGAAAGGAAGGAAAATGTCACACTGACATGAACACCAGGCTCACAGAAAACCTGATCCTACAAACATACATGAATCTGAGTAAACTGAGTGCCACCAGATTGTTAATATGAGGAAAGTTTCTCAAATTCATTTCATGGCTGCCAACATCAGGCATAAAATCTTGGTACTATTGGCAAATTTCCCATTGACTTCAAAACGGTCAGCAAAAGGGTCCTTCAAGTCTTATGCTTTAGCCAGCTGGTAGCACATCTTTCACCTCAAATCAAGTGTTACACTACTGAAGTGACTGAAAGACTCCCAATGTCTGCGTAATTTAATATTTTCTACATATTTATTCCCAAATGGAAGATATGGCAAGAATAAGCTGTGTGGCATAAATATCCTTCATTACTGTGTAGGTGCCCGGGGTGTTAAGCTGTGACAATAACCATTGTGCAGAATCAAAGCCAGGCTTTAAAAGTTTCCCAACACATCTCCAAAAGGTGACAAATGGAAATGTTTACTATTTTTTGGCTGCTAAGTAGGGATTCCTCTTTGCTGAGGACTGTTCAAGATTACTGACTGAACTACTTTTCATTGACAAACATTAGCTGCAAGTCTTTTTTTCCACGCTCATAAAGCCAGCATGCAGCAGACCAGTCTCTGCCTGGTTCTTGAAAGCCCATATCTTTTCCAGTGCATTGTGGGCTTCAGAAAGGCAGGCTTGCCTCCTTCTGTGTCCATTGTGTGGAGCCTAATTTATAGTCTGAACAAGCGCTTCACTATAAAAGATTTGCTTCTCCCCGCTCACTTCCTATTTCCCACAGTTAAAACAAGTTTCAAATAAAGGAATCACGGCCCTCCAAGATTACAAATTAGGCAAAGTAACACTCAGAGCATTAGCAAAGACTTTGTACTCAAAATGGTAAGTGAAAGGCCTAGAGAAATACAATCAAATCAAAGCAGGACAAAATCTAATGCAGGAAGTGTCTCCAAAGCTGTTTTTAATGTTGCCCATAACAAATACCTTTGGTTTAGGCACAGACATATTTGAGTGAAAACTGGGTAAATGCCAGCAGCTGCTTTACAGACATCTGAAGCTGGAAGAATCTGCTTGGCTAATTGCTTGGTCTGGGCACTGTGTTGTAGTACAGCCTATTAAGTGCCTGAATTATTTAAACTCAGATTACACTTCTGCACAGGTTTTGAAACCTATTTTAATTCAATACTGCTTTCAACAGTTATACCACATAGCTTTATTTTCTACTTCCTGACAGGTTTTTCTTTTCTCCAAACTCCGACTTTAACATAAAAATTCAGTTTCCCTATCAACATCAGTGGCTAGTTATTTATACTTTACTGTGTTCTTTGTGTTATGTTAAAATTGAAAGAAAAATCTTTGTTTCACAGGCAAGGCAGTGCTGAGATTACTGGATGAAAAAAAAAAAAAAGGATTGGTTACAGTTTGGAGGAGATGTTCAACAGAGCAAAAGCGAAAAATTGAATTGAATCCCCATGTCTCTTTTTCTGCCCTAGAAGAATCCACAGCCCAGAACTGCTTCTAGCAGGCTCTAATGTCTTATCTACGTTTTGGCCACTGTTCTCTAAGAAGGCTTTTCACCATTCATTTAAGAGAACCACCCTCACTCAGGGTGACTGATCAGCTCTCCTTAAGAAAATGTTGTAAAGGAAAGGTGATCTCTGAAAGGTGAGACAGAAACTCAGAGTTAAAACTCAATCCTCAGCACAAGAAGAAAATAAATTCTAAAACCTTCTGCAAGGAGAGACAGACCGGGGCAATGGGCAGTAACTTCTGTCTGTTCTTCCAGTCTGGCCAGTTTCAGCAGAGGATATTGTAAGTGAACATCTCTGGATCTGCAAAAACTTTTCTGAGGGAAGTGCATGTTACCATCTGAGTGCCCCACTCTACTGGGAAATAGTCAGGTGGTTTTGCAATAAGTGACACTGAGGTGCCTTTTGCCTTCTAGCTTGGAAGCAACATCCCTCATGCTCTAACACTTCTTTTCTATAGCAGTTACAATGATGAGAAAGAAGAAGAAGGCAGGAAAATATGGAGTAAAATCACCTTTTTCTCATAGCAACATCAATCCAGATGCTGTTCTTACAAAAATATAATTATCTGCTAGGATAACATTCTCAATTAAAGTGAAACATCATAATAACTTAAATGATAGTTCAAAGATTCCCCCCCATACTCTGCTTCTGTGGGTATTTTAATAAAGCTCAAGAGTATGCACTACAAATAAGTAAATAAATGTGATTCTAATCCTCTGTTGTGCCTCCATGTAAAAGATCTGAGTTGTTCAGTAAACAAAAGGGATTTCAGATAAACCTAACTCATGACCAGGAGAATTTCTAATGTTTCAGAGTCAAAATTGTGGCAGGAGTAGGCATTTAGATGCCACTGAAATGATTCCTTGTGGGGAGAGACCTCTCTCTGCTCAAGCAAGGGCACGAGACCTTTTGCAGGCCAAAGGGAGGTGATGGCCATGGCAGGGAGCAGAGTCACTGCACAGAGTCACTGTCCCAGCTCCCTCCAGCACATGGGATACAGAAGCCCCAATCCCTCTGCAAGACCAATAGCTCGCCTGGCAGCTGCAGGAGTTGTGTTTCGTGGGAATTCAGAGCAAACGTATGCCTTCAGCTTTTAATAAATGAATGTGTGGCCTCAAGCAATGATGGATAAAAGAAAGGGAAAAAGCAAAAGCTTTCCCTGGCTAAGTCAGGAGATTTAGCCATTCTAGAAGTTAATCACTGCGACTGAAGCTTTATACCCACACTTCAAATATATAAGTGAAACAAGTCAAAATTTCTTCGTATTTTTCCTTCTCCTTTCCTTCCCATCCCAACTGCTGGATGGCTCAGGCTTGGATAGATGGGCAGCATGGTGACTGACATTGGCTCAACAAGTCCTGGATCTTTGGTTCTCACTTTGGAGACTGTATTTCTTTTGGAAACTTTGATTATGCCCGAAACAAGTAGGCTTTTGGTTACACAGAAAGTTTGTAACTTTTTTTTTTTTTTTTGTTAGTACTCCTTATGTTCCTTTTGCCTCTTTTCACAACACTGAAGCATTATTACAACAGATGTAACTTTTAAATCAAAATTATTTCCTTCCTTTCATGGTACAGTAATGAACCATGTGCACAGTAAGGCATGAAGGAAGTGAACAGTTCATCAGAGTTTAAGGCATGCAGGAACGTTGCTGAAGAAATTTCACCAAGTCCATGCCAGGGATCACGTTATCCAAACAAAAATCTTCGGCATTTTTATGCTGTATTTTACCACCTCCAACTGTATAATAGACAAAAGGCCGAGATAAAGGAAAACAGCTGGGGTGGAAAAAGAAGCAAGAGTGTTCCATTGCACATGGTGATCATCAGCTGTTTCATAATAAACCATCATACTTTGAGGGGGCCTTTAAATTATTTTATTGTCATTCAAAATTGCTTTCCACCTGCTTCATCTTCTACCGTAACTTCCTGTGGCTACAGTTAAAAATGCAGGTGGTACTGTGTACACAGAACAAACTATTTAAAATGTTGTTTTGTCAAAACTCAGAATAAGGCCACTGAGAGCTATAAGTAAATGATCTATTCTTTGACATTTTGAAATTAAACCAATTAGTTTTATAATTTTTTATTATTTTTCTAAAAGAAAATTAAGATGAGGAAGGTAACCAAAGGCTCCAAAGTACAGCCAAAAATAAAGCAGGAAAGTTTTGAAAAATGGAGTGATAAATATGAAGGCCATAATTCTGGCAGTTTTCATAAAACAATCACTTTTGAAATCTCTGTAGTGAAGACCAAAAGAAACACACGCTTGGATGCCCTGGCCACCACTAAATAATTAAACAGTATCCACATAGAGAGAAGGTGGGGGAGGGAAGGCTCTGTACACACCAGTGATTATTAATGCTATACTCTTGCAATCTGAAACTATCTTACATTCCTAAATGGGTCACATCACTGTTAAAAAGAATGCTCAGGCTTCTTTTAGATTGCAACAGCTTTACTGAAATATGTTTTTACCATATGTTTTAATTAAAAATGTAGGGGTTTCATCCAACTAGGTTTTGAGGACTGTTATATAGGTCAATTTATTAAATCAAAAGCAGCAGAAACAATAAACGCAATATCCATGAAAAGAGAAATTACTTTAATCCAGCATGTTTGAAATTCCCTAAGCTTTTTAGTATTTTTTTGGCTGAAATGTTTGCAAGAAAGAAAAAAGGTGACATTAGGCATTCAACACCATCTAAAATGTGGACTAAGAGTGTAGCCAAGATTAAAAAACACAGCATAACAAAAAAACTACTCAAGAGTTGAAGAAAATGCCTTATGGAAAGGGAACATAAATAGGTCAGTCATTCTCCTTTGCTTGTCTACCGGAAGACTGGGAGGTGATTTGAGTATTGTAAGTGCCTTCCTGGGGAGAAAATAGTGATTTTTAAAGAGTTCCTTAATTGAACAGAGAAAGGCATAACCGGGAACATGGGCCAGATATAATCAAGCTTAAAATAGGGGATGTTTTTAGCAGAGATGCAATTAATTCTGAAACTGACAGGGAAAACATTGTATTTCCTACCACCTAACTTACTATCAACTGATGTTTTCTTACCAAGGGTGGATTACTGGGAGAAAACATCAGATATTTTAGGACTGGGTTATAAACAGGATATATAAACATGAATTCAGATTGAGAGAGCACTCAATGATTTAACAATTTCGTATGAAAGCTGGTGTTGTGGCTAATTGAGAATACAGATTTACATCCAAAGCATTTGAGCAAAAAGGCAAGGTACAATAGAAGCATCTGCATGTGCATGCATATATGTAAACAAAAAAAAATGTTCAGGCCTTCCTTCTGAATTATGAAGAAGGAAATAACATCACAAACCTATTTTTTCATTTAGACTTGGGGAGTAAGTCAGATGTAGAATTTCAGGCCGTAAGTAATAAACAGCCCGCAACTCTACCTCACATCAAAGAATTTTGCTGTTTGAAGTCGTCCTGGTGCCCCCTGGACCTCACAGTCCCTGTCCTTGTGCTATGACCCAATTCCAGACTGGTTCCCACTGAACAGATACCTAGGCTCTGCCTCAGGGTGTCTTCTACAAAGATGTGTCAGAGCCAGCATTGCCCCACCCCACCACATTTATCTGATCCAGCTTTAAACGCATGGAGCCTGATAAGCAAGCCTGGTTTTAAAAGATTCAGCGGGGCTGCTTCACTGAAGACAGTGTAATCACAGGCAGTGACACTAAAGGAGGGATTCTTTGAATTTTAAGTTTTGCCTCTGAACAAGTTCTTTTCTGAACAATTGATCTTGTGTCCCACATTTGGATCTTTGGAGGATGAGAGGTATAAACTCCATTTAACACAATCAATAGCAATATTCCCCAACACCATGGAAGCGCTATTGTATTTTGGACCATTATGGGAGAGACAATTGTCAAAATCTAGGCTTTGCTGCCTGTGATAGGGACACCCTCAGCTGGAGGAAGGCAAATTACTTTCATGTGAGCAGGAAGAGAACAAAAGGAGAAATAACGCTTTGAAACATTCAACAGCCGATTCTTTACAGCCAGATGGAAAGGCTCTGAAAAACATCCCCTCCATTAGTTATTGGTGGTCTCAAAGGATGAGGTTTCACTTGAATGGAAAAATTAATAACTTTTACAGCATATACATTCCAGCAACAAATTAATAACTTGCCAAGAAAGGAATGTGATATTCTACCTGAGTTGTGGCAATGTTTGTTCCATCGGTGACCTCCACAGTCATATTATACATTGACCTCTGCTCTGCATCCAAGGGCTTTGCAATGACAATCGTGCCCACTCCCTTATATGCGTCGAAAGAACTATCGTAATTCCCTCCTAATTGTTGCACAAAAACACAATCACATTAGCCATTTCTTGAAAACTTCCATTGCAAGTATTCCTAAAAGTGGGCATATCTGTTTAGTGTCATTCATCTTAATGGCCTCTCTTAGCATACACAGTAAGTCTAGTGATACTCCTTTGTTCATAAGCCATTTATATTTCAAAGCACAGTTTGTATATTGAAAAGCAGATATCCAAAAAGAAAGAATAAAAATCTTGCAGTACATTTAAGTAAACTATAGCTGAAACTACAAAAAGAATCAAATGGCTATAAGCCCCTAAGATGTGTGCCCTCGTGGTTTGAATAATGAACAAGAATATTTATCTTTTTGTATAAAAGTCATTTCAAGAGGGTTTTATTCTACATATTTCATTTTCAGGAAATTCTCACTGATACTTCTGCATGCAAATACCATCATCTGAGTTTTTAAACATTACAATTATAATAAATTTAAAAAATGCAAATAAAGATTTGTTATGTTAATACCAAGGACACTGATAATTACTGGCAGCAAAGGTCAGATCCTGCCAGTGTTTTAAGAATTATTCAAATAGACCTGGCAGGATACACAACCTAAATTCTTTTCAATACAGAAAAACCTCTCACAAAGTATTGTTCTAATACTAACATTCCCTTTTCCTGTCACACACTGAATGCTGCAGCAGTGGAAAACTCTCCTGAGTACTGAGTGAAATAAAGAAAAGGAAAAACCTATTAATAAGTAAAATAAGGCTATAAATAATATAATATTAAATATAATTTCAGATTGAAGGGTTACAAAATTTGTCAGCCACAGCTACAGTTTATAAATTTGAACCACTCATTATTTTCAAAAGTGCAGCACACACTCCCTGCTGATAAGCTGGTTTTTTTTACTTACTCATCTATGAAGTGTAATTTAGTATTAGTTGAGTCTGAAATTTTTGGAGGCTAGGGACAGGAAGAGGCGGGACACAACACTGCTGACAGACAAACTCTTAAGGTATATTCATAACACAGCAATTCAATGCCAACCCTGTTCTACAGTGACAAAAAGCCTTTCAAACCCCACTGGTTATGAGACTTGTGTGACAGCTGCTGAAAGCTCTTGAGATGAGGTCCACAGATAGAAAAATATCCATCCTATTGACTTAGCTCTGGTGAAATATATATATATGTAAGGAGAGATATATGTGAATGGCTGGCAGTGTCACAAAATGGCTCTCAAAATTTTAGGGCTGGGGGACTGAGTAGAGAAGAGGAGAGTCTTCCATGCTCTCCCATCTGCATGGTTTGCTGAACAGGAACTGACATTATTTTCAGAAGCAGTCATGCATTTAGTGAGAGAAGAATTTTTTGGCATTTAAAGAAGCTGAAGATTAGGAGGTAACACAGCAATATCACAGCTCCTAAATTCCTAAAGTGAAGGAACTCTCACTTCTACCTCTTGCACAGGCTATTGCAAAGAAAGAGGAAGGTGGAAGAAGCACTGCTCTATCTATTTTTGTCTTGAAAGACATTCAGAGATGGATAGAAGAAAATAGGAGGAAAAATAATAATGCAAGTGACTGCTGCAGAGGAAAGGCAGTATTGGTGAACTTCTGGCCACTGAAATGATCCAACTGTAGTAATTTCAGATGTGCCATCAGATTTCCACATGTTGAACAGATGTATGTACATATATACAGGTCAAAGTCTAATAGATGAAGTCGTGGTTTTCCAGGAAAACATCACCACTGGATCTGTTGTCATTTATGACAGATATTGCTTACTCCTAACCCTCATTCTGCAACCTGTCCTTGATATTTAAGCAATAGAAAGGTATTTGGACACTGATTATATCTTTGGTGCTCTTTTTTTTTTTGAAGTTAGCCTGGAAGAAAAAGTTTCTTTCTCCCAATTAATGTTTTAAATTGATTTACTTGAGAAAAATTGCACCATGAAAACCTCCTTTGAAGAAAAGAGCTTGAGATTCATGCAAGGAAATCTCAGCTGAAATGAAACTAGCCTTGGGACAGTAGGCACTTCACAAAGAGAATGTTTCATACTGATAACCATGAAAACAAAGTGCAAGTCTATACTTTGAGATTCTAAATAACCATCTTAATGAGCAATCAAAAATTATATGCTATCAACTGGCACACACTTCCAAAAAATCCTGCCTTTAAAACTTCCAAGAAGTAACATGGAAGGATAAGCAATAAATGTTTTAAATGACCTTCTGCTGGCTCAGAGTTGGGTTTTCAGGGCACCACATAGTCTGTGGCGAATAGACCAACTTCTTCAAGCCACTTTCATTAAGTGAAGCATACTCTTCCCCTAAAAGAAGAACTGAATCCATCATGTGAATTTTTTATATTTATTCACATCTTCCAAAATGGTCTAGTGACAAACAAATTAATCTTGCTTGCCAGCCACCCCTGCCCGTAACTAACCAGGCAATGCAGTCCATTTTACATTGAATCGTTTTCTATTAAACAAGGCAGAAATTGCATCAAACACTGAGGCAGAGATGGATCAGAAAACATCCTGCTGTGAGATTTGTGATTATAATCTATTTTGGAGTGAAACCCTGAATTATTCATGATTCAGTCTTCTACATTTTAACAGACCATGGTCAGATGAAGAACCATGCAGATGGATGAACTTCTGGGAATACTACCTGAGATACTGGGTCCCGCCTCTCAACTGCAGTACTAGAGGCAGCCTGCAAATGGTTTGTGCTGCTCTTTGGCCTCTGTATACACTCAAAACAGGTCCTTACATGATAAATGCTTCTGAAGCTGCACTAAACACTGATGAATTAATGAATTACATAAAAAAGTTAAACATTTAAGAGTCTTACAGATGTGTTAAGTCTATGCAAGGCCTATTAGAAGCATCCACCACAATCATCTTTGAAAGATGGGTGCTGGGTTGCACAAAGAGAGAGGCATCATTCGCGTGTAAAAAAGAACAGGAGTCTTCTCTTTATAACTATTGCAGCTGGGAACTCCACAGGAAACCACTTCCATCCAAAGGTGGTCATGTAGAAGTTGGATGGCTGGAGCCCTAGGAGGTGACAGCTGAGGAGGTGTTGGCTTCTGGGATGCTGGAGGTTGTTTTCAAAAGCCTGACGCTTTGTCTGTACCAACCTTTTGGAAGTGAGCTTGTCTGCAGTGCCATGAGCTCCCACAGTACCAGATTTAACAATTTTACTATTGTCCATTTAATAGTTTCTTTGATCACAATCTTCAGATGAAAGAGGGCTAAGGATGATGCCATTTCATTCAGCTGCTCAGTTTTATTAATGTGAATTTTCATTACTTATTCCACTTTCCAGCATTTGGCACATGCTTTCCTTTTTACTGTCTACTAAACCCTGCTTTCAGATACAAGATACGTAGAAGCTGTCTTTGCTAATGTGCTTGCAATTGCATTAGGAAAGAAATATTTCAAATGAAGATAATACATTGCGAGTTCCTCAGGCGCTTTGGGAAAATCAGTGACAAAGAAAGCAAGATGATTGCACTGACAATTTGGCTAGACAGGTCGTCCTGAGAAAGCATTTTAATACTGAATAACTCCAGAGACATGTGGATTAGCTGTTGTCTATAGTATCATTTCAGGCTAAAATGTAATGCTGATACATCTTCAATACAGTTTAAAGACTTCCCTTAAAATAATCTGATTAGACTGAAGCACTTTGAATAAGATTTCATGAAAAATCCACATTACTTTAAATGCTGTCTTTGGATGAGAAGACTTATCATGTTGGAATGGTAAAAATTCATCCAGAAAAAAATTAATCCACTTTTTCTCTAATTGATTGTTAAGATTCCCAAAATTACCTAGGAGATTGTTATGTCTACACTCCAGACGCTTGAAGTTAAGTGAGATGATTTCCACCCTTACTTTCTTGAGGTTGATCTTAATGCCTTTGCAAAAGCCCTGGAAGTATTAAAATTTTAGAACTAGTAACTTTTAGAACTATTAATGTTTAATGTCATCTAAAAGTGTGTTATAGTTTACATATGATTTTCCAATTCCAGCTGCTTTCAGTACAGCTGTAGAAACAGCCGCTGGTACAAAAGATCTTATTAGCTGGCCCTAACTACCACTCTCTAGAACAGTCTTTATTTTCAGTTTAACAGATGGTATAGTACAGTTAAGAAAGATCTCAGGAAACTGAACTGACACACCTCTGAGACAACAAACTCTTAAGTTGCGTACTTGGTATAGAGTTGGTTACATTTTCTGTCTGAACCTGGACTGTTACCTTTGTTCTTAGCTTATTTTTTGGCTTCATAGTCACTATGAACAATTTTTCTTCTGACAAAAGTCCTGTATACTTTGGAAAGAATTGATTTTCCTTATAAAAAAGATACCTAAAAAACCCCAAACCACAGAACCTTGTGAGGCTAACAAGAGAGGTGCAACAGAAAGGCCAAGGAAAACTTGACCTATCAAAAGGGATTTCTGGGGGTTGGCTGAAAAATTTGCCTAAGGCAAGACACAATCCAGATCTTGCATTCCCACAGGACATAGGCTCTGCATCTCTGGCCCTTTCTAATTTCAGGGTTGGGGTTTTTAATTTTCAAGCATATTCTCCTCATATTGCATTTTTCTGCAAGCAGTTAACTTTTTGGAAGGGCTTTTCCTAGATGTGGTTCCTTTTTGGTATGGTGTAGAGCCTCCCATGTTCCTATCAGTTGATGATACACACTTTAAGATGGATCATGCTGCTGGGAAAAATAATTTTCTCCTTTGAGAAGAAAACATGTTAGCAAATCTGGAGGATGTGTAGGCAGACGAGTCTCATATGAGGACCTTTTTCCATATTTTCCAGGGAGACGATCAAAAAGGCTGGGATTGAATACCACCTCAGAAATATCTGAAGACTGCAGAGAATCAGACTTGCTCAGTCTTAGATGCAAAGATGGATCACACTGAGCTCTGGAGGACATCCCCAGTTAAAACACTGCTAAAACCTAGCAGGAGTCTTCTTTCACTGGCAGGTAGCAAACGGCACACAATACTTTATGTTCAGAATTAACAGAGCCGTGATATACGGCTATCCTCACACAAGTCTCATTTGGCCTACCATGCCATTATGGACAAATGGAGAAAAGAAATATGGGAAATTGTCTGATTTAGAGAACAGTCCTCTAAACCACATTTTCTCAGTGCAGAGAAGATTCTTACTTGTCTGTCCCAAAAAAAGCTGACAGCAGTGAACAGGGCCAATTGCTACAATTGTCACGTTGCTCAGGGAAGAGAATCAGAGCAAAACACAGGAAACTAATTCACCCTGAAACTCAGAGGTGAGGCTAAAGTACCTCTAGAATTTTCAGAAAAAGAAGCAAAGCCAAACTTTTAATTTCTTTTTTTTTTCAAAGAAGATGAAATAAAATTAATGACTGTCTCAAAAAACCAAAAATTCAACTACATATTTTTAAAATCATAGCATAATAAATATTAGTAAAATGACAGGGAAATATTTATTCTGTTATGTACTATATAATGCTAAGAAGGAAGTAACACAGACTCTGAATTTTAGATAAAACTACTATAAAGAGACTCAAAGCCTTGAGTTTGCTACTAAGAAGCTGAAAGCAAGGTCATAAAAAGCAAGAAAGAAATCAGGAAGGTATTTTAGATAGTTCTCAGAAAAGATTATCCAAGGAAGGCTAGAGAGCTACATATTTTTGACTTTAATGAAAACTTGCGGCACTATGAATTTAATGGACGATTAACTAAAATTAAGAGATATTAAAATTATTGGCATTTAAGCACGCTTGGTAAAAAGTGCTGATGTGGTTTCAAAGCTTGGCTGCTGTTATAAAGGCACAGGCTTGTGGAGGAAGCAAAGATAGAGGGAGGACTGTTTGGGGAACCAGAGAGATGTTGTGCAACATGCCACTTAAGCACAATCTAGCACCATGCAGCTTAGCTCCAGTGTTAAAGTAGCCATCCCACCACTCCCATCAGTAACAAAGGAAAAAACAGAAAGGGCTCAATTTACCTGGTATAAATAAAGGTCTCTGACTTATGCGGGAGTTCCCATTGAAAATTAGTTTCTTATTAATAACTGAATAAATTTAATACAACTGATACAACTTATGCTTATGTCTTTCACACTGTGGGATGTGCCTGAAATGAGAATAGTATTGAATGCAGTCTGAAAACAGAAACCAAGTATGACATCTCAACTATTCCCAATTAAATAAACAAACAATCATCCAAGTATTCTGTTCCTTTCTAGTCTATCAATGGAAAATGACCTTCCTGCCTCCGTGGCATCTTCCTCCCTTGGAGCTGATTAACTCAAGAACTTAAACAGCTACCTAAAGTATACAAAATTAAGGTGCAAAGTTAGGCAGACAGGACACTTTATAGCCAAACTTCATCTGCTCTCCCTCTCTTTTTTTTTTTGTCTGGGAGAGAGTGGATGTTATGCATTAAAAAAGAGATCGTCTGGAATTCCAGTGCCCATTTAGTTTGAAAAGGTCATAAAGATAAAGGTCAAGCTGCAAACTCTATATTAAACCATGTCTCTATATAAGCCTTCGGGGGTTTTGTTGACATTACTGTGAACTATGCACAGAGGTTCAGAATCACAAAATACCAGATGGAGCAGGATCAGGTCTGGTTTTACAGCAGCACAGCAACCATCTCTTGCATCAGCAGTCACACACAGCTTTCTGTATATGACAATTAACTTCTACAAATACCCCATGTTGTTCATTGGGCTTTTCAGCACAAGACCTCAGTGCTGATGATATCAAGGAACAATGAAAAAAAGTGGGGTTTGACACTGGCTAAAGGCAGCAATAGTTATCTAAATACACAGTGTTCTGTCTGTAAAACCCTCAGGATGGGTTTTGTCTTTGTTCCTTCCATACTGAATGTCTGGAACAACAAGGTCTTCTGCATGCCCAGGATTGTTGGCTATTCATGTTGCAGAAATTGGTGCTGTTGGGAATGTAATTATGTGTAACAGCAGCAATATTTAATGAAAACATTCAAATGGTAACAGAACCAAACTGGAAGGTCAGGATCACCGATTTCTCATTAAATCTAGGAAAGCTCTGTCTCACTGACCTCTGCAATGATGCAGCATCTTGCAGCTTCAGAAGCTACAGCCTGTAGGGAAACCATTAGAATTGTTTAAATAGGGAAAATTTTCTAAAACATTTGAACTAGTTTAGGCATAAAGGCCACGCTAAATGACAGAGGTTAAAAATTACTAATGTTCTCCCTATCATCTGTGTTTGGTAGGCAGAAAATCAAATATCAGTATAAGGCATTGCTTGATTGAAAGTGGCTCTTAATGAAAAAGAATATAGTGGAAGAGCAAGGGCTTCCCCTCAGGGCAGCATTTTAATGAGAGTTGGTCAAGCTGCCATGAAAATGACCAGAACAAGTCCAGCAAAAAGTTCAAATACGAAAAAACTGTCAATAACATCAAAAAAGATGGATTTGTCTTGGGAGGAAAGGTTCAGTGAAGAAGGGAATAGAAATGTAATCATTAGCTTATAAACTGCATGTAGCATACTGAAGCAACCAAGGAAATGGCAGGAAAACTGTAGAAAACATATGCTGTCCTCCCCCAGGGACTAGCAGGAACCCCAGAACATGGTAGCAGGTTTGGGTTTAATTTTAATAAGATTGGCACGTCAGAAACTGTGGTACAAATTCAGAGAGGAAGCGGTGCTGCTTCTGTCTTTCATCTGCACAAATTGGCAATGAAAGGTGGATGAAAACCACTCTGACAGACCCTTTCTCCTGTGGTCCCTGTCCTTCCTGTTGGCTAAATCCATCTGCAAATAACTATACTGAAATGGGAGCCAGGCTCAATCCCTGTAAATAAAGACTGCTGATTCACACTTTCTGCTAAGTCCATGGCAAAGGCTTTTTGTTTCTCTAATCTTTCATATAGCATTTGCTTTATAACCCTTCATTTAAATAATTACACTTTGTGCAGACGAACTGTTTTGCATCCAAAGGTATGCAAACACTACATACAAGCATCTGCAAATATTAAGAAGCACAATAATTTTCCAGGGGAAATTCTCACTTTTGAGATGTTAAATGAGTTATTTTAAATGACATTAACTGAATCAGCAGCAGAAGTGGGAAAGAAATGCTTAGGAACAATGACTCCCATTTCTCTACTTCAACCAAGTGAGACCCTTTGCTCCCTGTCATTTTGGCTGCTAATGGCATTTCCCTGCAATTTTAAGACTTCTATGGTTTCTCCTCCTTTTTACTAAGGATGCTTTTCCAGCCCTATTTTTATAAGCAATTTTATGTAAGGCAATTTTGTGGTTGAAATCTCACATCAAAACACATTTCTCTGTTTCAGCTTGCATTCAAGACAAACTTTTGGTGTCTCCATTTGTAACCCATATGTTGAGGCATCCCATTCTGTTTCACAGTTAAATGGATGGCACTGGACTGTGAAAAGTTTGAATTAATTATTTGTGATAAACTGTGGAAAATCCGTGAATAAAATGATAATAATTGGACACAAATACGGTTAAAGCTGTCATAGAAAGAAATGCAGCACATCCATGTGTCGCATCGCATCCTGTCACAGGCACTTATGAAAGATGTAATATAAATTGTCTCAAAAAAACTTGCAAAAAATAAAAGGCAGCCTGGATAGTTGTATTTTAGCAAATGTGTTTGCACTAAGGGTACCTTCTGTTGAACAGTTCTGCCCACAAGCTGTCTGTAGAATATAGAACATCTCTCGAGCATGCTTGCCACCTTGAAGCAGGGCAGTCGGAAGCAGAAAAAAAAGAACAGAATGCAGAAAAAAAGGTGAAGAAAGAGAGAAATGAGGGACAGCAAGTCTAAGTACCATAAATACATTTAGAAATGAGATTAGCAAAGTATGACAATAGAATTCAAATGACAGACAACATTAAGATTGCAGTAAATAACATAGTACAAAAAAAAAATCAATTCAGCCATACAGTGCTCTTTTTAAAGCTTAGCTAAAGAGTCATAACAAAAGCAGGATTATTATTATTATTATTATTACTACTGGGGGGGGTGGGGAGGGAGGTGGGGAGACAATTCATGGTTAGTTTTCTTGCTCTCAAAACCGCACAGCCAAGTGCTTTGCTTCTGGGGCGTCCTCCTGGCACCGCTGGCTCCCAACTTACCGACGATATCGAACCAGAGGGGGATGTTAGAGGGCTGCACAGAGACCACCCCGACAATCTCGGTCACTTTATCGCTCTCCATGACGGTGAAGTTGTAAAAGGGCTCGTCGAAAGTCAGGGGCACGGGCGAGGGCGCAGGCTTTTTTATCCACTCAATATGGAGACGGGCAGTGGAAGATTTTTGGGGCCGGCCATTGTCCACTGCTTTTATCTGGCAGGCACAAAGAAAAGAGGCTGAGCATCCCAGCTTGGCAGTTCAGAACTAATGCTAGTGTAGTGCGATGACTGCTTGGAAAATGGCCTTTGTAACCTTTTATGTAAAATCCCACCAAAAAAAAAAAAGACAATTCCTTACTTCTCAATTCTCACTAATTTATTTTCTTTTGCATAATGCTTTGACTTTTCACTGAAAAAGGTGATTTTAAACTGAAATGTTTTGTTTAAGAAATGCTGGTGTGAGGCCGCCTGCAGATGCAATTCGAACACTCCCCACACAGATCCTCCTCTCCAGAACCAGCTTTGCTCTGATTTTATCTTGCACCCAGCTCCCTCTTGCAGCAAAGCTGGAAGCTTTGTAATGACCCTTTGTAACACCATGCATTTGCAAAACATGCTCACCCAGAGCATGTTTGACTGCTTTCAAGTGGCATCTGTGTTGCAGATAAGTATTCCCTATATTGCCTTCCTCAGGATCTTTAATTGAATTAAATAAGTTTCAGGTCATTTTCCTCATTCTCCATAAAAAATATAATTCGAAATATTGTCATGTTTTCTTTCTCCTCTCTGTCAAGTTCATTAAAAATTGCTTTGCTTGGTGCTATTTCTTTTTATTATAAAGTCTTCTAGAAAGATGGATAGGCTTGAACTTTGTGTGACATGCTTTATGGATTTAGCATAGCAAAGACAAGATGAGCAGCAACAAACACTGAGCTTAAGAAAATTCTGAATACAGGTTACATAATGGGTGCTTTGGTGGATAACATTAATGTCAACAAAATGTTAACCTTTCTTTTTAAAAAGGTAATGTTTCTGGCTATATAGGTCCACTGGTATAAATATGCCATTAAAATATCTTTTAAAAATGGGAAATACTTTATTTTTCTGAGATATCATGCCCTACTTCTTCCTCTGGAAATGTGTTAAGTGTGTTTGATACTAACATTCATCACTCTCCATTCCAAGCAGGCAGGTCCTTTGTGAAAAGATACTGAGGGTGTGATGAGCAGTTTCTAGTTAGAAAATCTTCAGTTGTTGCATTACAAGAAGGCTCAGATCTCAAACATGACTTTGAGTTCGCCAGAGGTAAAAGCACTCACTCACTCAAAGGCTGCTCTACTGATTCCTAGGTATTTCTCAACGTTTTGTTATTTATTAATTTTCCAACATTATGAAGGTAACCCACAGTAAGATACATCACTTCCAGATGTCAGACCATGGACCTCTGACATTTTTATTTCAGCTCCTCAACTACAACTTGTTGGCTTATACCTGCACATGAAGAGTGCACATTCCAGTCTTATATGGCTTTATATCAACTCAATCATATTTTATTCCCCCTTCCTTCATTTTCACTGTACGGTTAGAGTTCTGAAAGAAGAATTTTGACTCAGTTTTCTTTTAACTGAAATTGCTTCCACAAAACAGAGTTCACAGTACTCCTCCTCTCTTAGATGCAGCCACCTAACTGGGACAGTAGGTGCTCTCTGTAAGGGCAAACAATTGTGTCCACACCAAAATTAAGTACCCATTTGTAGCTCTATCTGCCCAGGCCAACATGATACAACTTTGGGAGCAGACAAGTACTTGGTCTTCATTTCTGCATATTCAAGGGAATGGCTCATGCTAACAATTTACAGGCTGACTTCACACTCTAAGAATATTTCATGACCTGCAATAGCATGAATGATCTCTCACACTCAGTTTTTTTGGCACTAGTTTTGTGTATGAATGCGAAATTTCTTAATTTAGGTCTTACATACAGGGCATGAACACAGTTATATAGTCCTCTTTATACAGGAGGGCCTATTTCTTAAAAAAAAGGAAAACAGAAGTCAGTCAAATCATGAGTTTGTGTGTCAAGGAAAGAGTGCTTACCGTTAAGATGTCATAACTCCCTGCTGTGAACTGCTTTCTGGAAGAAACCATCCCTGTTTTGGGATCAATGAAAAACTTCCCATCATCATTCCCATCCACAATGCTGTACGAGATCTCTGCATTAGGGCCTTCGTCTTTGTCAAAAGCAAAAGCTCTGTAGATGGGCTCCCCTCTTTTCTTACGGTCCCTCTCCGGCAGCTTGATCTGATAGACTTTCTCTGGAAACTGCGGTTTGTTGTCATTCTCATCCAGAACCTGCACCACCACCCAAACGGAGGATTGCTTGGGGGATGTGCCCCCATCTGAGACGGTTACCTGAAAAACAGCAGTGCCAGTTATTCTCAACAGCCACAGCGGAACTCCAGAAATTGGAGAAAAACATAAAACATAAGGAAATGCCTTGCCTTCCCCAAAGCTAACCTGAAGTTTACAACATTGTCTGTGTACACAATACATAATTACTATAAACATGCTCAGTGCTTAACTCAATTTGTCCAAAATGGCAAATCCAGGAATCCAGATTTTTTACTTCTGAGATGAACGTGGAATAAGGAACCTGCAGACTAGGAAGCTATTTCTCAAAACATTAAATCCTTTTATCTCAAATTCTGCAAGTTTATCTCAGAAGAGAGAACTGGAATAAACTGATTAATCAGGGATCCCTTCATTTCTGGCATACATATTTTAAAGTTTCTTCTGCCATGGAAAGAATTTGAAAGATGCATTTCTTCTTAAACCCTAAAAGAACCTCTGTCATTTTTTCCCCATTAATTATTTGGAAATTCTTAATCAACAAAAGGATTTCTGTCAGCTCTTTTCATTCATTACCCAAGATGTGACAGCTCATTAATTCCAAACCTGCTTTATAAGATTATAAGGAGCACAGAGAGGCAGGTAACAAAAAATTTCTGCTGCATTGTATAGAGAGTGCACTGTGCTGCCAGAAATATGTAAGAAATAAAATCTTTGAGATGAAAGTTAATTAGTAATTTAGTTGCAACTTAAACAGAATTACTAATAATTTTCAATCTGAAACACTATGAAAATGAAATGATTCAAGATCAACAAACCCTCAAGAGATTTAGTAATATGCCTTCAAAATGAAATCAATATGTTTCAAACTTCTCCCTCAATATTTCGATTGCAGTATTAATGAGAAAGAAATAAGGCAGAAAGTTATTTTTGTTTGCATGAAAGAAGTTCAAATTTCATTTTCAGCTACATATGGTAACATCCCAAATCCCACAGTAGCAATTTCTGATGATAGTGAGCCAAGATATTACATATCCTTCTCTGCTCATACTGATCACTGCACATCGATTGGTTTGCTGGTAACTTTTTGATGTTTTATTTTTCCTTAAAAGTTCCTCTGTTCCATTGCAAATACTATAGTCCTGATGTCCAGTTGTCAGGCAAAGCAAAATTTTCTGGGAATAATACCCCTTGGCATTTTCCCATCTTTGTGTAAAGTCTAAATTTAGAGTAACCCCAGTTTAACACTGAGATCAGCAGAAAAACCGTGTTTTCTATGAGAAAGGTAAAAGACATTGTCCCTTTCCTGTATTTAACTATGTGTTTTGAAACTGATGCAGTGGAAGGGAGCAGACTGACAGCCTCAGGGACTGAAACAGCTCATTTACAGAAAAGTGAGGAGCATGGCAACATACAGTGGCAATGTAAATTCCCCAAAACAGCCCAGAACCCACTTGGAGAATGGAACCCATCCTCCCTACAACACATACCAGTCTCAGGCCTCTTTCTCCCAAGACTGGAGTAGAGTTTCCCGAGTGCTGAGTCACTTTGGCAATTAGCAATTGTTGGGATCACCACTGCTGTGATGGGCACAGCTGTTTGCAGAGTGCTGGATGGGGATCAGACCCATCCTGCAACGTGACATCTGCCAGTCACCAGCACAGGGGTGTGGGAAGAAGACCCACACCATTACCAGTGTGCTGAGCCATCCAGTTCCCACTACCAACACTTTCCAAAACAGCATTTCTAGTGCTGAAAGGCTGTACACACAGCTGTGAATCTGCCTTTCCACACAGTGAGAGCCACGCCCCCAGGGACCTCAGCCTCTCCACTTCACTGATGATCCCCTCTATTTCTGCTCTACTCTGTTGCAACTGGCCAAGCTCTAGGCAAGACCACAAGTTAACAAAGGAAAACTTGATTTTTGCGTTCCTCCAGAGATAAAATGACCATTGACGACAGGCAGTACAGGCTGTATTGCATGGAAACAATCAGAGACACACTAACCCAAACTCAAAAAATATCAACAAAATGCTTTTTTAGGGAGTAATGTTTTTGCATTAAAAATACTAGCGAGATTCTGGAAACTCTTGTTCTCTGAACAAATACAACTTTTTTTTTTTTTTTTTTTTTTTCCTTAAAGGCATTTTCTTCAACGTGCTAGCGGTAATCAACAAAAAAGGTGTGTGAGTGAGATAAAGGGTTTACAACCAACTATGTCAATAAATCTATGAAAACCACAGTGGTATAAACAGTCAAGCAACTATGATGAAAAAACCCTACCCTAAGTCAAAAAAGAAGTGAAGCATCCTTCTGTCTTACCAGTACATTCTCACAGTTTGTCACTTTACTGCTGAAATCCTGACTAGCATGGTGTTATGGCAGCAAATATTTGCTTGCATTTGTTTGTTTTGTAAGCCCAAACTTGGGGGGAATCTATTTGATAACAGAAATGTTGCACTGAAAATATTTGCTGACAGCTAACAGGAAAGAGTAATGGCAATAATACAAAATGACAATTAATTAATAAAAAATAACGAACAATGGCCTGAATTTAGTAAATTCTACTTGGGCTAAAACTTTACATCCCTGGAGAGGGAAGTGTTAGGTACCAGCTAAGCCTTTTTTCTTTGTGAGACACTCAAAACTTTTCAAAATTTCAGGATGCAGCTGCACTCAAAAAGCTCTGAGTGCCAGACACAGGAGCTCTCTCTTTGCAAGCATGTAAATTAATTAAGCCTCCCTCACACCAGTGATGTAATTATTTCCCCAACTGTAAATCTGCACCCTGGCTGAGCCCTTTTCCAGCCATAAACAAGGTAAAAGAGCTGCAAAAATTTCCTCTTCATACAGAAAAAAACCCACCATGAGTTAACAAGACATTAAAACAAACCAAGAAACTGCTGCCAGTTCAGAATTGTTCCCAGACAAAAACAGGGAGAAGAAGAGAGTCCTTCAGCACATCACTCTGCAAGTACCATTTCCATCATGACACGGTATCACACCAGCACACAGGGGCGCCTCTAACCAAGGCAATTTCAATCTAAACATTACCACAGTTCTTAGCTAAACCCTTAAACAGCTGGAAAGTACAGTAAAAAGTAACCAGGGAGGGGAGGGAGGTTAGGATGTTCATAGGACAAAGCTAATTCACAGCTCGTATCTCTGGAAATGCAAAAGGCAGATGTGCAAGGCACAGGAGAGCTTGCAGGAGAGAAGCTGTAATTCAGGACCAGTGAGGTTCTTTTGTTTATAAACCTACAGGTAGCATGGTAGGAAAAAGAACACAGAGACAAAAGGTAATGCAGATGAATAACATCTGAATGACATCTGTCATTCATCTGTCAGTCTGAGACAGACTGTCTCAATACACCCTTGTCACGATGTGCCATTGAAAATCCAACAAGAGGTGACTCACAGTAATCAGTATGGGAAAAGGGTAAGGACAAAATCATGGCTTTCCCAGAGGAGATGAGGAACAGCTGCTTGGTCAGCATGTGGTGAACACCTTCTTCTGCCTGTGTGATGAGTCTGGTGTCCAGATCCAACTGCTGCAGACAAGCTGCTGCTTGACCTTATGCAGCTGAGATGGACCAGGACAGTGCCTGTCCCCTCTGCTGCACTGGTCAGATATTGCTGCTCATACTGTGTCAGGACAGCCTAAACAGAGACTAAAACCTAAACAACCTCCCAAAGCTGGGATACAGCCATGAAAGCAGCTGAATTTGGACTCCCTGACTAATCAGACAAAGGGTTGGTCCATTCAGTGAGGGTGGAATGTCTTATAAGGAATGTGATTACATATTTAATAGGGCCTGAATGCAACAGACAACAAAAATAATATAAACTATTATATATTTTCATGGTGAAATCCTAAGCATCTCTGCTGTTTTCTCAAAATCAGTTCCACTACAGTTTTCTCCACAAAATGAGCATTTTCCTCCAGGAATCTGTATCTATCCATTGGCTTTAATGCTTATGACTTAACCAAAATATGTCTGTCAATACACATACAGATACTGGTTACCTGGGAATTTCTTTGCTAAAGTAACACCTCCCTTAAAGTCACACCTCCCTTACAATGTTTCCTTTAGCAGGATGGACTAGGACAAGGCCTCCTCAAATTCCCTCTACTTCTATCAGATATGCATTTTTTGAGAAAAATTCATTAGAATATCTCCTTCTGCAACATATGACAAATTCAGTATAATAACAGAACTTTCTCTCCAAGCAAAACAATTTCCACTTCTGCAGGATCTACTTCAGCATGTTAATGTCTATAGACATTAACACTCCCTTCCCTACAGGACTGAGAGATATTCATGTTTATGTTCATGTCAACAGAACAACTACAAAGGGATTTCCATAGAAGTGGACCTTCTCAGTGAAAATAAAGACTGACAGTGACTGTTAACATCCCACAGCTGGAATGTCAGATGTGAGAATTTCTTCTTTTTCTGACTATGGAGAAGGCATGGAGGAAACATCTACTGTGGAAGTATGGCCTCATAATCCAGCCTAATGCAGCCTAGCAGACCTCAGCAATGATCACAAAAGGAATTTTGCCTTGAGATAGTCACTCCTCCTATGAGTCAGACTGTGACACTTATTGGAGAAGGTGTAGTTCTTGAATCTTTCAGAATACAGATACAACTGTGAGGACCACCCTCCTGAATTAAGAATACTGTATTGAATCTCATTAACAAAAACTCATGACTTCCAAGGTAATTATTAACTCAGCTGGAGAGAGTAGCTAGCAGGGATGTTACTTCAACAAGTACAAGACAATTAGCAGGTGTTTAATGTGAGTCATCAAGCCTTGAGAAGAACAAGTATCTTCTTCCATATCATTCAGTGGCAGGAAGAAGTACTTAACCTACCCAATATATAAATTATGAGGAACTGTCACATCACCGTCATTAGCATTGCAAAAAGCTGAAGATTCCATATTTCCTTGTTTATTTTTTTAGTGTGATAACTGCTTAATGCAAAATAAAGTGAGCTGAGATGCTTGTGCCTCATCAAAGTAGTGTGCACAACGAGGTTTTCAGGTAAAAGTCTCT